TTTTATACCCCACTTTTATGTAACTTTTTGGATACCTAGCCATATTTGACCAGGTTCCATGACCAAAACAAGATTGCTACTTGTCTATCATCCATATGTGGCATTCCAGGTCTCCATAATCACACCTATACTTATTCATATTAATAACCTACATCACTTATGTCTTAATGCCTATATTTTATTGCAGTCTAACCGCCTAGTTACCAGCTTGCTAAAGCCATCCCCAGAGAATCCTGCAGTGCACTGTATCCTTTGTGATCCCTCGTTTGTGTCTCAGACTGAAAGTGCAGAATTTATGATCTTGAGTTAGCTTTTGGGGCCTGCAATCCTTTTAGCTAAAACCAGCCTTTAGCAGGACTATCTCCACAAGGCCTCACGCTAATACAATAGGCCTTTAATCATAGCAGAGCCTAATAACCCAATCATAGGAATTGCCTACTTGCCCTTTTGTGTTTCAGCTTAAGCAGCACTACACACCAATCAGTATTATATGCCAGTGGTGTCATTCGACTTATGGCAAGCTTAAAATAATACATAAGGCAAAGTCACAGCTCTACAATAGGTTGGGCCTAAAGTTGGAACAGGCTATTTCGATCATGTAGGGTGACCAAGTGCTGGATCGGCCTCTATACTATCGGCCAGTGTTTTATCAGGTCTGCTTTGAACTTTGTAGTGTGTTCTCTCAGTGGCCTCCCTTGGCAAATTCATATTTTCTAACAGAATAATTAACTTTCAGAAATATTTTCCTATAAGCTAACTTCAATTTTCCCTTGTTTCATTTCAGTCATTACTCTGGGATGCTGGGCACATACTCGGGGCTGCTAGTCCCACCCTCCGCTCACCCTCTCCCCTCCCCCCCATGGTTATGCTCTATTTTTAGCACGCTAGCTTGATTAGAGCTAGCACAGGTCTGACTTTTTGAGCTGGGAATTACACACCCCACTCAAAGTGTAGACATATCCTTCTGTGGCCATAAACAAACCCTCTCCTTTTATATTTTTATTCTCAAGTATTTGTAACTCAGTCACATACCCCTTTGCCACCTTTACATATTAACTTCCTTTGCCCTCTCTTCATAAATCAGACCCTCTGGTCCCCTTACAATAAAGGGAGTGCTCATATCACTCTTTAGACTGTCATTGATGTTGCTATCACTGAGGTCAGTAGAAACCTATGGGTGCTCAGAACATTTGAGTATCAGGCCTTTTACTTAGTTGCACTATTATGGATTGGAGCCTAACTTTAGGCTTCTGTGTTTGAAGATCTTGGCTGTGGGTTGTATTCCCAGCTTTCCTATAGTCTTTTTGTTGGATTTTGGGCAAATTATGAAACTTCTCTGTGCCTGGGTTTTCCCTCTTGGATAATAATGCTATTTTCTGCCTTATAGGAAAGTTGTGAGCCTAAATTAGTGTTTAGAGAGGTGGGTGAGGTAATATCTTTTGTTGGACCAACTTCTGTTGGTGAAAGAGAGAAGTTTTTGAGCTTACACAGAACACTTTATTGAAGTGAACTGAAGAAGAGCTCTGTGTCTTTCACCAAGAGAAGTTGGTCCAATAAAAGACATGTCCTCACCCACTTTGTCTCTCTGATACCCTAGGACAAACATGGCTATTACAGTACTGCAGATTAGTGTTTGTAAATTGTGTGGTGATCCTTGTATGAAAGGTGCTATAGAAGTGCAAAGCATTATTATAACCTGGGAGGGAAACCTCCCCCAGGCTCGACTTACAAATTTTGTATCCATGCAGGGCTCTAGAGATGAGCATCTGCAGCCAATCCACAAACATGGTTTGCAGATATCTGCAGATTTGCAGGGCTCTACTAATCTCTAGAAAGAACAAAATACTACAAAATAGCAAAGTCATATTTCATTACTTTTATTAAAATAAAAAGATCATGCATTAATATACACTAGACATTTCTGAGAACCAGTTATATGAATTTTAAGACTACATAATTTTCTGCATAAAATAAGTCAAGGTGGTTCAGCATACAGCTTATGTAATGGAAGGGGCTGGGCGAAAGGTGCTGGAATGGCTTTTTCTCTGTGTACAAAGTTCATCTTTAAAGAAAAAAATTACTAATTTACAAATAAGTATAATGGGGACTTATCCAGGCTGATCTTGTGCTTCATGTATCCAGTTCCAACTCCTCTGACCTTTTACCATCTCAGCTACACAATGTATTTTTCTCCTAGAGGAAGCCTAGGCTAACTTTTCTCTCCCTTCTACATACCCCATAGAAATCTCCATTACATTTAGGACTATGTGCTTCCCTTGACCCTTGTATGCAACTCCCATTTAATTCAACGGGGAGTTCCACCATTTGGGTTAATACCCTACATTGGTATGACCCTCACTGATATGGTTTCCCCTTCTCTGCAACCCTACTCATTCATGCTCCCATGTTGTTCCTCTGAGAAACTCCTTCCTATAATGTATTAAAACTTGATTTCATTGTTTGCTTTTTTCATAGGATTATTTACTCTGTTGCCTTGAGTCGGGGGGTTATAAGTCTGATTTATTTATTTTTTCCAGGCATTTTTGTGGTGTTATTTCCCCCCCTTACATACTGAAGTCTTTCGTGGATTTTTAGTTTAATGTTATGTATCTATACCTACTTACCATGGATTCTTGCTCTGTTAATGCTGGTGGAGTGAGAAGCTTAAGGGACTTTTTTTTTTTTAATAGCATACAGTTTATAAATGGGCAATAGCATGGGCCTCAAAAGCAAAATATCCTGTGGATTTGAGCTTGAGGGTTTGCTTTGATTGCTATATTTGTGGTAAAAATTAAGGAGAGACATTGCTGTGCATTTCAAAGAGTGCATTTTCCTAGCACCTTGGTAAACAACAGCTGCAATGGCCAAAACTGTTTGTTGTATCATACTGCACTATGAAACTCAAAGAGTGAACACTGGGCATGAGGGTATCATAAATGTGCTAGAGAGAGGAAAGGTGCCTCATTATTAAGATCAGTAAGCTCTGGTTAAATCCCCAAAATGACACCTTTTCAAAATCTCTCAATAAAAGACTTTTAACATTAGCTCTTCCATGACTATTAACCCTACAAACCAGCCAACCTGACTTATTCCCCCCCAAACACGATACAGTATATTACAATAAATGTTCTCCAAAAATTAAAAACAAGAATAATATACACCTTATTTTTATCACTCAATATACAAACAATCTTTGATCAATAGTATAAATCATTAAACTGTATAAAAGACAGCATTTCTTATTTGTACAAATAGTGCTTTCATAGTTAACTTTACAATGCTAAAAGGTACTCTCTATATGGATATATTGCTTGATAGTTTACTATAACCAAGACATTACTCCCAGTTGATTGCATCATTACAAAGCTGCCTAAAATGGGCACCAGATCCGTTGGATCCCTATGCATAATGAGAGGGATTTTCAAAAGCACTCAATATTAGCCTCACTCTGCTCCCACTGAAATCAATGATGAAACTCCCAGTGACCAGAGTAGGAGCAGAATTTGGCCAACAATGGCTTTTCAAAACCCCCAGCCTTCACATAGATTCTAAGATATTAGAAGGATGTTTTGGAAAAAAGCTCCAGGACCACTGGGAGGGCTAAGAACATGTACCGTATCACCTACGTATGGACAAATCCCTCATAAAGCTATTGGTTAGGTTCAGGGCTGGGGTTTTTGATTTTTCAGCTTGTTCGTAAGGAGGATGAATTACTCTGAGGTAACAATGAGGTGTGGGCCACATACATATATTTGTATATATATAGCAGAACATAAAGGACCAAAATCCTGGCTTCAGGCATTTTGCCACTGACTTTGTTGGGATCAGGGTTTGGCTCAATGCATCATGTCGTTTCTGACAGCAATGTTCCAGATTGTTTCATTCGCTCTCAAAGAATCCCTTTCTTTGACTTTGACACTACTGAATGTTTGTTATGCATTCACTCTTACCTGAATACCCTAAGAATATTACATCCTTCTCTCAAAGTCACCTTAATTCCCATTAACATTAATTGGAAATTAGAACCATAATTCCCAGTCCATACGTTTAAGGACATACTGGTGCCCTGGAAATCTGTGCAAGTGTCCAAAGCAGGCAGAATGTATGGCAGGGAGACAAAAGTGTGTCATGAAAATTTCACGCTCTCAGTTCACACCCCATGTTGAAAGAAATAATGTAATCAGAAACATGCTTGCTACAACCTTCCCCAGATGAAAAGCAGGGATCCAATCACTTCAGTATTTGCCACTCAATTTTTTTTTCCTGACACTGATCCAAAACTTGAAGTCCTTGTTCAGTTTTCAGTCAGTCCCTATTTGGCCCAAAGTCCCCTTAATTTAACGAGTGTTTTGACTGAGCAGACCATGAGTCATAATTGAATAAAGACATCAGATTTGGCCCACATGCTATGCATGGCTCCAGTTGAATCACTGTGCACAGCAGATGCTTGTTCTCATGAAAAGCCCCATTGACGTCAGTGGGGCTCAGTGCAGATCCTTTTGGGGGCGGCGATTCCCTCCCCAATAAAAAGCTGTGGAAGTGATGATCAATTGGCATTTTGATTAATTACTTTAAAGCAAGAAAATAAGACACATTCTCTTTGGTCCTAATGCAACCCATTTAAAAAGCTACGTAAAGGGGTCTTGTTTTTCTTTTATATAAATACTTTTTTTCCTTTTTCCTTTTTTTTAAAAAAGACTTTTAAAAGGCATATGTTAGAGCAGAGAAGAAACAAAACTCACTGGGAAAGCAAAGCTAAAAAAATGGGATTTCAATATAAAAATCTGATTTAGTGGTGATTTAACAACAACATTACCAAAGCACTCTGGTGAAGGGTCCCGCTTGGCAGTATAACTATACAGAGTTTAAAATTTCATTACTATACATTTTCTTCAGGAAGGGGGATACAAACAGATACATTTTCTCACTTTGTCCTGACGAAAGTGTTTTCTCACAGAGAAATGTGTTTTTAAAAAAAAAAAAAAAAAAAGAGAGACTAGGGCAATTTTACCAGCGGACAGTGAAGAGGTAGTGGCTTGTGTGCTATAGGTGATGTTAAACTTCTAACCTGAAAAATGAATGCTTGTCAGGAAATGCAAAGTGTCTTATTGACATTCAGTTATTCATTACCAAACAGATGGAGGACACCTCCCGCACTTCTATGTGAAGTGCTTGAATCATTTGGAGTCTTGTGGTCCTGTTAAATTGGATCCGGAATACACATACTTGATCTTCTATGCATAGAATAAAATTCACATTTGTAGCACAAAGCCTGAGTAAATGGGTTTTGCACCAACACAAAAAAACACAACCCCCCCTCCCCCCCGACTTATGTGGAAGTTGAGGGGATTTTCCTCCCAATCAGCAGGTAGGGCATTGGGCACCTGCTTGGCCACTCAATTGCTGCTATCATCCTGAGCTGAAGTAGTAAGCAATGACTGCTATGGCTTCCCCTGTAAGAAAATTTTGGGCCAGTGGATCTGTATTGTGTGTAGATTCCCTGGCTATGGTCCCTCTATATAATTCTGCCTATAGCCACCCCATCCCATGCAGGCTTGTTTCCTTTTCAGGGGAAATGCAACGCTATCTATCACTTCAGGACCCTGAAGATCGGCTGAATGGAACAGGAAGGAGCAGCAAATCAACCTTAAAGACTGAAAAAACGTGAGGAGCGCCATGTAGTCCAAAGTACTCTGACCAAAGAAATTCATCAGGTTATTTCACCTCACTTGGAAGTGAGACAAGGGCATGGGACCCTGCAGAAAGTTTACTTCTTACGATATATTGAAACATTTTCAGACTTTCCCAAGCCAACTCCTTCCCAGTACAAAACAATTTACAGCCAAGTTTGCTATAGTACACTGCACTGTACACAGAACACTGAAAAACAGCAAATGAACTTGAAAATTCTGACTTAAACCTTGAATTTCCTGGTATTTTGCAGTTTACCTTTATGATGTTGAAATGTGGTGTTTAAAAATAGCAGTTTAACATTAGTTTCATATTAGTTGCCAAGCTAGTGATTGTGGTATGGTAAGTACACACGATGCTGTTCAGTGTCATTCCTCTTTATGCGAGAAATTAGAGGCAGTATTTTAAAACTCCCTCCCATGTGAGAGTCTATGAGCCTTTAAAAGCTGGTGTGGTCTGGTAGGTCTCTCTCTATCCAGGCATATTTTTTTAAAGAGACATTTTATGCCCACAACTCCTGATAGAGCACCCTTTAAAATGGTTCTGGTCTATCATGTATTAGTATTTAGGGAAACTCTTTTATAATGGACCTGACGACAGACTCTTAATCATAATGGCATAATTGGTGCTGCCTTCTTATTAATCAGCTTGCAATTTTAATTTCCTTACAAACTGCTCAAAATTAGAATCTGTGTTTTGCTCAGATATTGCAAGAACATTCTCCTTCAGCTACTCTCCTAGTTTTAAACTGGAGGAGCTCTGATCACTTTATAATGGAGACCACTCTGAATGCCCAGGAAAAATGCAAAAAAAAAAAAAAAAAAAAAAAAAAAAGATACAGTCTATGTTATAATTAGGTTCTACTCTAATGTTGCAATAATTTATATAACAATACATCTGGAATCACACTTTAAATATAATTAAAAACCTTTTCTTGTTCTACAGACCTTCTCTATAATACAATAATCATGAAATCCCATTCCAACACAGCAACTAATACCCTCATTTGACAAAAACAAGTGAGCAACTTGGGTACCAGTGAAAGATTGCTCAATTATACCTACAGTCTGTTTCATATCAGTTGGACTAGATTCATAAGTCTTCTAGCAAACTGGTTATGGACAAATAAAGCTATGTGGGCTTTGTGATACTTCACTGGCCACTTAGGTTTGTTTGATTGTTTTATTGTAGATCACTGAGTGGTGACACGCTGCTGTTTGATAATCATATGAAACTGTACAATTTACTCTGAAATCTAGCACACTAGGGGAGCTGATCTGCAGGAGATCTTGAAGTGTAGTTTATCATTGCCTTTATGACTGTGTACAAGCGCATATGCTCACTGTTGCCCTCTAGTGACTTTCCCACAGAAAGGATAAGGGACTTTAGACTGCTACCAGCTGAGATGGTTCACCTTCATCTCAGCTATAGAGAGGCCTGACTAAATGGCCTGAGATGCAGAAGAAGGGTTTTAGTCCTGAACTCAGTATAACAGCAGTTTATCGGGATTCCACAAGGTGAAAGTGCCGCATAACTCCCATTGATTTGTTTAGATCTCTACAATACAAAGTGGAATCTTTGCTGCTGCACAATTCATGTGCCCCAGAAAAAAAAAATCAGATAATTTAAACCACATATTTACTTATTTTAAATAGCACTGAAATGGTTTGCTACAATGAAGCTGAGCTGATATGCTAATATGCTCATTGCTCTTTATTTCTGCTGGTCTTTGAATAACTTAGGGCTGCATATTAGGAAATCATGACACATTTATCAGATTTAAAAATATTGTTAGTTCATAAACCTAGAGTCTGTACCACATAAATTAGGATAGGTCATAAATTACAGACAATCTTGCATCAGAAGCTGGCTCCTATATTCTCTCTGCTATGTTTTCCATTAAACAATAAATAAATTAAAAAAAAAAGAGAACTCAACCTTAGATTTCTTAAACACTCTTAAAGTATATAGCTGCATGACTCTCATTGGCTTTCATGGTGGTCATGTTACAAAGTCCTCCAGGAACCATTTAAAAAATGTAGAGAGGTTAATCTGTATTAAATAGTTTCCATGCTACATAATGCTGGTAACTTAGCGCTACTGTTTTTTTTTTTTTTTTTAAACCATTTTTAAAGCTAAAAATGTTACTGAATCATTTTGGGAATGGCGTTGGAAAGGCTGTAGGAAAAGATGTAGTATTGTACCGTACTGTATTGCTTTGAGTAGTAAACTATCCATGATTTCTGTTAAAAAGTCGTTTGACAAACATACAATCCCCTTGTGAGTTTGTTAATGGGGAAAAAAAATAAAAAAAAGATTGTTAAAACGACAGTGTGTGTCAATGTGAGCGTGTGTGTGTCTGGCGCATTTTGAACATGGCATTGGGACAACATTTTGCTCTCAGGTACACCAGTGTAGATCTGGGGTAAACTGTACTTGAGAGCAGAATTTTTTTCAATGTTTTAACTACAAGGAAATAATACAAGTTGTTACCTATTCTCTGTAAGGCTGCGGCTGGGCTCCAATCATTGTGAGTGAGATGTGCCCAAAGAGGATGACAATAAATGTGTTTTGATCAAATTTGGTCTCCGGCTCTAGACTCTGTACTGTTCGCGATACATTATTATACGTGTCCTGGTTTTCAATGGCAGCCTGCATTGCATTGATCTAACATGAGATATTTTACACTGCCAGTCTTCATTTCCCCTCCTCAAACAAACCTGCCATGACAACATTTTAAGGGCTTTGGTCCTGATCCTGGATACAAATGCAATATTTCAGCTGGAATTTACATTGAGGTATTCCAAACATAGTGGAGGAGAAGTGAAATTTGACCATTCCCTGATGCTATAGGTTGCATTGATGTCTCAAGTATAAATGTTACATATTTTCTGTTACAGTTTTTATGTCATCTCAAGTAATTTTCCAATGATTAACTATTAATTATGGATCTTAGCATGCAAATTGCTTGATTCAAATCTGGCTTCAGATCCAACTATTTGGCTAAAATATTCTTTCCATCAAGGTAGTGGAGGGATGGCTCCATATTACTATTACTCTTTGAATCAATGCTTTAACTATTTTTTTCCTACTCCTTTCAAAGAAGACAGCAAAAATGTTATCAAAAGGTATTAAAAGAACTTCAGGAGTTTTAAAAACTACACACAACTTAAAGAGAACCAATCTCTAACTTTTTGTGCTACAATGGTTTTATATACAATAGATATATTGTATATTTATTATTAAATCAAATATTGATTTGGATTATTCCACAGTGACAATTAGACAACCAGGCTTGGACTTCAAAGAGGCCTGTGGCATTCCCAGCCCCCAATTTCAGAATAGTAAACTAAGCAATTGCATTCAAACACTTCAGACTATTCTTTTTCCTCTTTGATGCATTATTACTGTATTTTCTTTGTACCTAGCATAAAAGAAGACCACCCTAACACAGCAGCTGTAGTCATGTAAGAGACAACAGATTCCTGCACAGTGATACAGCAATTGGCAATATTCTGCCACAAGTTTAACAGAGTATAGTGGTATATTTCCCCCCCTTTTCTTTGCAATTTTTATACAGGGAAAATTTTTTTTTTTACTGAGCCACTTAAACAAACAAAACAAAAACAAACAATCTCATTTCCTTTGGTTGCATTTTTTGCATTTTTGTCTGAGCCAAGTTTAATTTTGTGCAGTTGCATTCGGATCACCAGCTCTCACAAATAACCCAATTAACACCTTTTGCATTTCCTTGCCCTTTAGGGAAAGTTTGTCCCAATGCGATTGAGACAAAGGGAATTGACACTTCATTTTTCAGTCATAGCAACATCTTTAAAAATTTTGTTAGAAATGTAATTTGACAAATCTACAGCTAACCAGTGGAATGGAAAAAAGAAAGGCTTGCATTCAACATACAGAAAACAGACTTGTGAGTACTTTATAAACATTTACAAACAACTCTTCTGTATGCTGTGTTCTTCCTGCTGGACTCCAAGAGTAGCGGTCAGTAAAGTAATGTGTGCTGCCATCCAGTCCTTGTGCTAAATACACTGTGGGTTATAAAATTTCACCAATTCACCAATAAAAACCACTTCATCAGCAGAATCTCCACAGTAAAATAATGTGTGCTGCCATCCAGTCCTTGTGCTAAATACACTGTGGGTTATAAAATTTCACCAATTCACCAATAAAAACCACTTCATCAGCAGAATCTCCACACTTCTCTCTGACTCATTTTTTTCCTGTTTGTACCAGTACAGTAAATGAAGTCAATATTTAAGATCCAATCATTTGGAACAGCTATCCATCTTTCAAGAGTTTGAAAAGGATTTAATAATGTATTGCTTTTTTTTTCCCCTCGTGATCCGAGAGTCACACAACAGTACAACAAGCAAGTGTCTCATCTTGTAAAAGATCCAAAAATTCCATTAGAAATGTTTATAAAAATAGGCATTGTAGAAAGGAATTCTTACAGTTAATTCCAAATTGGTTTTTATAATGCTACCATTTGAAAACAGAAGGAATGCATCTGCAATTTCTTATCTGCAGGAAGTTCTTGCTCTAGTCCAACATGCATGCATGTGTATGGTATGTGCCTAAGTTATGTATGTGAATGGCCAAGGAAAAGCCCAAAATATATAGTAAAATCAGCTTGGTGAATTCAGTCCACCAGCTTGAAAGGAAAAGCGTGTCTGTCAGTGAATTGTGATTACTCGTCTGTCAGTTCATAGCTTGATCCTGCAGCAGCCAGGTTGTTCATCTGGATTTTAGTTTGTATTACTGCAAGAAGAGAGAATTTTTCTGTGGTCATGCTGAGGCTTCAATGTATTCAGTTTTTGGTGCTGCTACCCTTAAGTATTCAGGATTTTCTGCTGCAGGAACTTTAAAGATGCCATTAGGCTTAGTTTCCTTAGGAAAGTAGTCCTGTTGGTAGTCAGGATTGTCCAGATTTATTTGGTGATTGGCTGTTTGGTCCCAGTAGGGGGAGCTTTCAAAAACCGTTTTGACAAAAGGAGACTGGTTTGTGTTGAGATACTCTGGGTTGTCCACTGCTGTGCTGTGGGAATTCTGATAGCTTGAAGCTGGAGCGGGATTTGGGTTTACTGGGAGGGAGACGTTGTTGTAGATTGGATTCTGTACTACAAATGCTGATGGTTTTTTGGGGATTGACTGATTGACATATTCTGAGATAAAAAAAAAAGAAAGAAAGAAATTAAGATATGTAACTAATGCAGTCCTTTAAATGATCTGATGTGTATTTTTAATATATGTGGAAACAATCTTTTCCCACATCAGCCCACAAGTCATTTGGATCTTTCTCAGGATTCCAAGACTTAACCAAAGGCAGGAAGTTCCATTGAACAAAGGTTCCAGGAGTCAGATTTTCAAAGCAGCCAAGGGAATTAAGCCACACATTTTCCATTGCTTTTAGTGAAGTGTGTTTCCCTAACTCCCCATGGAGTGTTTTGAAATCTTATCCAGGGAGTTTAGCTGAGGGCAACCATATATCTGGAGAAGTACTTAAAGATAATGGAAATGCCTTAAAAAAAAAAAAAAGACCAACAGTAACTGAGACCCCATGTCCCAATACAATGCTCAATGCTGGCTCTTTCCCTTACTCAGCTGCAGTACTAGTTGAGGACAAAGCATTGCGAGTGTATCATTTTATTAAAACATCCTTGTAACAGTCTTACTGATCTTTTAAGTCAATGAATTCTGGTTCTAGTGAACTACTATACAAGTACATGTCAGACTGTGGTTAGCAACACTGCATATTTCATTGTGCCATCCATTCTGCTTGAGTATATTTCTGTTTGGAAAGCAGTAAAAGACCAACAACAAGAAACAGAGTTTCTACAATAAAAACAATGAAGAGGTCTAAAGAGTTCTTAGAAGAGACTGTCTGAAATGTCTGATTAGTAGAAAAAAGAAAAAATCCTTGATAAGGCACCTACAACAAAAAGTAGAAATCGGACTGGTGGTGATGGTGGATGACATGTGGTCAAGAAGCTGTCAGAAAAGATCTAGGAAAAAATGAAAAGAAAAATTCTGCACAATTTCTCCGCCCCCATTTATTGACCAGTGAAGAAAAATTGTGGGGATCTTAAGGGATGTGAAGGACTCCTCCTTTGCTGAGGGAGGGGAAGGAAAATGATTACCCAGAGATCACCAAGAAACCTCAAAGATCGAAGAGAGAAGCAAATGGCATTCCAAGCTGCTGATCAATGAATGAACTTGAGGATCAGATGATACCTAGCAGATGTACTCACCTGGAGCAGGCAGGAAGCCATCATCTATGCTGTCTTCCAAGAAGATGCCAGTTGGATCTGAACTGTAGCGCTGGACAAAGCTGTCGTCCCTCACGGGGTATCCCTGCTAGGTTAAAGGTACAGGTTAAGAAACAGAGTATAGAACAGACTATTTCATAGAAGCTGGTGTGTACAGGTAAATGTGTGTGTAGAAAAAAAGGGGTGGGGAGGAAGAGAAAGCCAACATCTGGTGATGAAATTGAGACACCATCTCTGCTAAATCAAGAACTTGATTCTTTAATTCAGTTCACAACATTAACACAGTGATAAGATACTTTTAACGCTAGCTGATCACACTTACTTACCCCATTTCTATCAATGCAGGTTGTGGTTGAATTGTTGCTAGTAGCACTCTTCAAAAGAGAGAAAGAGAGAAAAAAGATATTTTAAAAAGAGAAAAATATTGTCTGACCTGGGAAATGACTAATTCCAAACTGTTAGGTCTGTGAACATGGATGAAATATCATACCAATGAACTCAAGAGGGGAGTCCGGGATGTGGAGGGGCTGTTGAAAAATCCCTGGTGTGGAATGAGGTACTCGTCTGCATCAACAATGTCTTCCATGTCCTCCTCTTCCATCAAGGTCCGATAAAACTTGGAGTCTGTAGGGCTTGGCAAATGCATTCTTTCATCTCCCTGTCAACCAAACCACAGTAAGAGCGGATTGCTGGACACCGTCCTGCCTGCACTACAGCAAAGCAGCTTTCTCTCTCGAGAAAAACAAATGTTCTGGAGATAGGCATACACTGCAAAATTTAGACTTGGATGTAAATTCAGGGGGGAACTGGACCTGGCGTTTGGTTAGGCCTATGTCTAGAGTATCTGTTTTTTAAAGTATTCAGAATCTAACCTCCTTTCTGGATTGAAACAGGAATGATGATAATCCTGAACCAGGACACATGCATGGAAAAATTTACTGGTCCTGAAAGTGTTTGTATGGGCCCAACTATGTGTTTCTAGCCCTGGCAGGTTGCAGTATATCAGACTTTAAATGGGAGCATGATCTAAATTCAATAAAATACATTTTTCAGTCTTGTTATGATGTTATTGAATGTTCCCTTTGTGAAATCTCTCAATAATTCCACAACACACACTAACAGCTTTCCTGTGCTTTCTTTTTCCACCATAAACTGAGAGGCTATTTGAGATTTCTGCTGTTACTGCTGTTGTACTCCTAAGTAGCTCTTCTTTCCACATTAAATGTTAGCAAATGTTCTGAAGGGCACAATCCTGCCTTGGCAGAGAAATGGACTCAATGGTCTAACAGGTCTTTCCCATGAATTTCTTTGCTTCTATGAAAGACGAAGTAACCTGGCATTCTTAGTTACATTTCTGTTCCTCATATCCATATTTATTATTTGTTCTATTCTTTATTTTAAAGCAAATGGTAATATGCTAAAGTATTTACTGCAACAACGTGGAAATGGACTAGAACAATCAGCATTACAGTTTTCTTTAACTGAAAGTAGCAGCATGAGACTATATTGTCGATGTTCAAGTGGTCCGGTTTCTTTCGACATTTGGTCATGGAATCATTGAACTCCTTAGCTTGCTCATCTGTGAGCATACCGTGTGTATTATTTCATATTTGCTGTAATTTTCCCCTTTCTAAGTGACCGTTTGAGATCTTGGTTTCCTGGTAAAACAAGCTCTGATCAATACCTGTATAACAAGATAGCGCTGAGGGTCTCGAGCCATTTTGGAGAATTCTGATATCAGCTCACGAAACTTGGGGCGACTGTCTGCATCTATCATCCAGCCTGAAGGGACAGTATGGAAAACAAAAGCACAAATCAAATGATCTTAGCCATTAAACCTGAAGAGAATTTTAAAATAAGATGTAAAGGATAGGAACTTGGTACATGTGAAGCTGTTGCATCAAACCATAACAATGAGAAATCCAGTCACATCAGCTTTTTGTCAGACTTTATTCTTTGTTTCTTTTTGACATTTAAGAACACCACTCTCTGCTCTTCTTGGAAGACCAAAAAAAAAATAAAAATAAAAAGATATAGTAGAAAGATTCCTGCTTAGCATCAACATGCAAGGAGTACCCTCCTTTAACTCCTTCTGGCATAGTCCTCCTAAAAGGTCGGGATCCCTGCTCCACACAAGCTCACTACATAGCAGCCCACAAGATGGGGAAGAGAGTGCTGGACCAGGAGATGGGCAGCGGATCCAATGCTATGCAAGCACTGACATACCCCCACTCCACCTGGCAGATCTGTGAAGGCTACTTCAGCTTCAGAGCCACTCCACAACGGTGTAGGGAGGATTTCTCTCCCCCATTTTCCTTTATATCTGACCAGTACCTGGCCTGGTGATGGTATCTGGATTTGCCTCTAGTGCGCCAATTTTGTTCTCATTTACATGGGTGCACCTCTCATGGAAATCACCTGGGTAACCGAGACCAGAACAGGGCCCCACGAGTAATTGTTGATTTTTAATCATCTCCTATGCACAGCACCTTACAGATAGACTAACAGAACTGGGCAGACTTTCTGGGTCAAAAAGTTGATTTGTTGAAAAATGAAGTTTCGGCTGACCTGACACTATCTGTGAATTTGACAAGATTAATTTTGGCCAGGAACCAGCTTTGGAGGTGGGGGGGGGGGAGAGTGAGTGAGAGAGAGAGAAAGAGGGAGGGGGAGAAATATGCAAGTCGCCTTATAACCTTTAGCCTATGGGGTGGGTAGGGTACCTGCTTGAAAGGCGAGACACCCAGCTTTGAATCCCCACTCTGGAGTAGTGACAAACTCAGATCTTCCTCTCCCGGTGAGCATCCTAACCACTAGACTATTGACTATTCTAGGGTGGGTTGCGCTCAGTCTCTCCTGTTGAAGCTATTCCACTTTGTATAAATCCTTAAATATTCACTGAAGCAGAGAGTTACATGTACATCTCCCTGTAGTTTATTTAATTCCTTTTGCTGCAATAATGGCTTCCACTTTGTTCAGATACTCCAGCCTACGCAGGAAATTCATGTCACTGTTGGAGCAAATGGGGAATCTGAGATATGGTTGCTGTTGTAAAGTAATGTCAATTCATTTTTAAAACACGTTGGTTAATTGAGCTGCGGGTTGAATATTGTCACGTACCTTTAAAACCAATAAACTTTGCATTATAACAACTTTGAAAGAAAACCCAATTTACAGTTGGCTCTAGTGGTGAGATGCGTTTCCTGTGCCCTAACTTCTGTACAGAGAGGCAGCATCGTTCTTCATTGCTAATTATTCTAAATGAAGTCAGCAGATCTATAGTGATTTACACTAGGGCAGAAACTGGCCCATTTAGATTGAAAACAGGTTTTAAAAAATAATATTAAGTTAATTTTATACATATTTTAATATTTAATTTTTATTGGTTTAGATTTTTATTTATAATTTGATGTAGTGATTATTTTGCACATTTTATTAGTTTTTTCTTTCTAAGCTGACGTGATGATTTTTTTATATATATATATACATTTCAGTTAGGGTTTACTTTAAATGTTTCCATAGTCTTCATTTACTAAATACAATATTGGGCCTGATCCCATTAGAGTTGGTAAAACTCCCACTGGCTTCAATGAGAACAGAATCGGGCCCTTTGGTAGAAACTCAGGTTTAGATTTCTTTCCAGATTAGAAGTGTATGGCTTTATTTGGCTGATTGTTTACCAGTAAAATTGTATTTCAGTTCTCATAGAATCATCGGACTGGAAGGGACCTCGAGAGGTCATCTAGTCCAGTCCCCTCTAGTCCAGTCCCCTGCACTGATGGCATGACTAGGTATTATCTGGACCATCCCTGACAGGTGTTTGTCTAACCTGCTCTTTAAAATCTCCAATGATGGAGATTCCACAACCTCCCTAGGCAATTTATTCCAGTGGTTAGCTACCCTGACAGTTAGGAAGTTTTTCCTAATGTCCAACATAAACCGCCCTTGCTGCAATTTAAGTCCATTGCTTCTTGTCCTATCCTCAGAGGTTAAGAAGAATAATTTTTCTCTATCCTCCTTGTAACAATCTTTTATGTACTTGAAAACTGTTATTTCCCCTCTCAATCTTCTCTTTTCCAGATTAAACAAACCTAATGTTTTTAATCTTCCCTCATTGGTCATGTTTCTAGACCTTTAATCATTTTTGTTGCTCTTCTCTAGAATTTCTCCAATTTGTCCACACAGAACTGGACACAATATTCCAGTTGAGGCCTAATCACCGAGGAGTAGAGCGAAAAATTACTTCTCATCTCTTGCTTACAATACTCCTGCTAGTACATCCCAGAATGTTGTTCACTTTTTTTGCAACAGCATTACACTGTTGACTCATATTTAGCTTATGGTCTACTATGTCCCCCAGATCCATTTCCACAGTACTCCTTCTTAGGCAGTTATTTCCCATTTTGTATGCGTGCACCTGATTGTTCCTTCCTAAATGGAGTACTTTGCATTTATTCTTATTGAATTTACTTACTTATTGAATCCTATTTACTTTAGTCCATTTCTCCAGTTTGTCCAGATCATTTTGAACTTTAATCCTATCCTCCACAGCATTTGCAACCCCTTCCAGTTTGGTATCATGCACAAACTTTATAGATGTACTCTCTATGCCATTATCTAAATCACTCATGAACATATCTAACTATCTTCTTACTAATCATTATTTGCAGTGTTGTTGTAGCCATGCTGGTCCCAGGTTTTGAAAGAGAGAAGCAGGGTGAGGTAATATCTTTTATTGAACCAACTTCTGTTGGAAGGGACAAGTTTTCAAGTTTACACAGTGCTCTTCTTTTAAATCATTGATGAAGATATTGAACAGAACCGGACCCAGAACTGATCCCTGTGGGACCCCACTTGTTATACCCTTCCAGCATGACTGTGAACCACTGATAACTACTCTCTGGGAATGGTTTTCTAACCAGTTTTGTACCCACCTTATGGTAACTCCATCCCTAGTTTGTTTATGAGAAGCTCATGCAAGATAGTATCAAAAGCTTTATTAAAGTCAAGATATACCACCTCTACCGCTTCCCCCCATCCACAAGGCTTGTTATCCTGTCAAAGAAAGATATCAGGTTGGTTTGACATGATTTGTTCTTGACAAATCCATGCTGACTGTTACTTATCACCTTATTATCTTCTAGATGTTTGCAAATTGATTGCTTAATTATTTGCTCCATTATCTTTCTGGGTACAGAAGTTAAGCAGGCTGATCTGTAATTCCCCAGGTTGTCCTTATTTCCCTTTTTATAGATGGGCAATATATTTGCCCTTTTCCAGTGGTCTGGAATCTCTCCTGTCTTCCATGACTTTTCAAAGATAATCGCTAATGGCTCAGATAGCTCCTTGAGTATTCTAGGATGCATTTCATCAGGTCCTGGTGACTTGAAGATATCTAACTTGTCAAAGTAATTTTTAAACTTATTCTTTTCCTTTTTTAGTCTCTGATCCTACCTCATTTTCACTGACATTCACTATGTTAGACATTCAATCGCCGTCAACCTTCTTGGTGGAAACCGAAACAAAGAAGTCATTAAGCACTTCTGCTCTTTCCACATTTTCTGTTATTATTGCCTTCCTCTCCCCCCCCCCCCCATACTGAGTAGAATCTCTTTCAGTATTCAACCACAGACCTGTCTTAACTTGCTGCTAATTATTTCTAGAACTACACTAAATCAGGAAATATTGTGAATTCCAGTGAAGTATCATGGTCAGTGCTTTGTCTGCATGGCAGGTGTATAAATGCTTCATTGCCATACACGAAGGGAGGTTGTGAAATCAGCTAGCTATTTGTGAAATCAACTGGTTTGTCCATTAGATCTGTCGATATCTCATTTTAGCAGGCTGACCCTTTTTGGATGAGTGATTTATTGTTATTATTAGTAGTAAGTAGTATGTATTCAGAGACTCCTAAAACCATAGCATTAGTAGAAGTAAATTCTTTGAGTCAAAGAAAAGTTTAACCTCTTTGAGGACTTAGTACATTTTATCTAAGAAAGTGTTTAAATGCCACCTAGTGGGCTGCTTGTGAATGTCCTCTAATGTACTTACAGTAATAAGGACATGGAACCAAGGCCACAGAAACTTGCTTTACCAAATCTGCTAGCTCCTGTTCATTTATTATAATGACTGTGTCTAAGTCAAAAAATTGGGGGTCAGACCAGTTATGAAGCTCAGGATCCTGGCTCAAAGTCTTCATGTGCAGCCACTAATACTGTGATTGCATTCTCAGACATTTTTTCCTATTGTGTATGTTTGTTATTTAATTAAAATGAAATGAAAACACAAGAAGAGAAGTCAGGACTGATGATTCAGTGTGCAAAATTGGAAACCTGGGGCTAATATTCTGACCTCAGCAACACTGGAGTAATTCTGGAGTAACTCCATTGTTAGTCTGGATTTACATTGGTGTAATTTAGGTTTTCATACCATACTCACCGCCACAATGATGAGAAATGAGAATTTGGACTCTGAACTGTAGTTAAAGAAAAACCTGCTGTCTTGTCTGAAGCATGAGATGTCTGAACCATACCATAGTGATGTTACTCTTCTCATATAGCACATAGGCATGTTTTCCTGTGAATCTCAGGAATACAGCATAGCATACTATGCTATAATGGTTCCATAACTAGAACCATTTTCCTTCTTACTAATATGAACTACATGGACATGTACAAGAACTGAACTCACATTTGACCATGATCATATAGACATCAATAGTACAGATAGGAGGCTGAGGCAAACGCTCGCCCTTCTCCAAGACAGATGAAATCTCACTGGCTGGGATCCCATCATACGGTTTTGATCCAAATGTCATTAATTCCCAAACTGTGACACCTGAAAAGTAGGACAAAGGGACAATGTTAGAGTCTCATCAGGTCAGCAAGGATTCATGATGTTCCCAAAGCACAGCAAACCTGGTCTGTTTCGCTTAGGAACAGCATGTATAAGAGATAGAGTGGAGGCATTAACCTTTGTTTTAGAGCTGCTAAGGCTCACTAAAGGAGTCATCATTGTTTATTCACTTGCCAACTGTTCACGGAGGAAGAAAATGTTCCATCTTACAGATGTAGCTATTTTAATGAGGTCCGAGTTAACAAAACAAATTGAAATAATCAGGCCTCTTCCTAGGGTTTTACAGAAGGTAAAACCTCAATGTTCAACTCTACTTCATGACTTTACCTCCTCACAACTGAAAGGCATTAGGTTGCTAATTACGGATTCCAACCCACAAAGTGGGTTGTTGTTGTTTTTAATTAAAGTTTTGTTATTGTTTTAAAATAATCTCTCTGGAGGTAAAATATTATCTCCTCTCTTTGAAGGCTTTCTAAATTAACTTCAGCACATCACCTATTCCAGGCTGTAGCTGTTAAATCATGCTGTCCATTTGCATGGGCCCTAAAATAGGATTTTGGAGGTGAAGAAAATGTATTTAAGTGGATTAATAGGAACATAGGAATTTCCATACGTGATCAGACCCACGGTCTTTTTAGTCTATTTCCAGTCACTTCACAGAAAGGTGAAAGAAACAGTGCAAAAGCAATTATGAAATTACCTGCTCCCAAGGAAAATTTCTTCCTAACTCTCCTAAATTAGAGGTTGTCTTACTCTAGGAAGCGTGTATACAATGAATTCTCTGGTATGATCTCAGTAAAACAACAAATTAGTATATATTCCTACATAAAGGAGATTGGTGTCCTAACAACTTGACTTTATGGAGTTTTAAATGACCATATTACACAATTTCCTTTTGAATCAAATGTTGATTCAAACACCTATGGGCCAATGTAATGGGCATTCAAGCCCAAACTTCAGCCTACCTTAAACTTGCTATTTTCCGGGAAATTAATCTTTTACCTATTCAATTGCAATTGTATATGTTTTAGTTCAAAGGCTATGAGTCTTTCTACCTTTTAAATGTATTCCCTATGGAATACTGTGAACTCTACTTAGGGCTTGTCTGCACTTACATTTTATAGCGCTCTAACTGGCTGGCTAAGGGAGGTGAAAAATCACACCCCCTGAGCGCAGCATGTCTGAGCGCTTTAAAGCGCTAGTGTGGACAGGCTCCCAGCGCTCAGAGCTAATCCCCTGGTGGAGGTGGATTACCAGGAGCGCTCGGAGAGCGCAGGAGCGCTGCGCGCGACCACACCCCCATTCACCACTCAAGTCTATGGGAATTTTGCTTCATTAAGAAGCTCAAGATTTGGCCCATCATAAATATTTATTCTCCCCATCAGTTTGGTATTAAGAACCTGTTATAAGTATCACAAAAGGATGACTGAATTTCTGGAGAATAATTGGCTGTGTAGTGTCCGTAACAAATCTTACACTTGTTCTCACCCATCTAAAATCATTACGATCATATTTTTAGACTCACCATAACTCCAGACATCACTTTGATGGGTGTAGATTCGGTGTAAAATGGACTCCAAAGCCATCCATTTGATAGGAACCTGGGAAGATTCAGTTAAGCCATAAGACACCTACCTCAAATCTAGAAGCAATACTGTTAGAACAACAGTGTTGTTTATACCAATACTTTGACCGTAGGCAGAAAATCTGAGATGTACAGCAAGCAACTTGAGATTTGCTGGGATCAATTATCATTGTTTTGATTTGTCACTGAGTCTGGGAACTTGGATAATATTTTGTTTTTTAGTACAAGTATCTCTGATAATTTGGTTTTACAAAATTCTTAAGAGTTGAACTTTTGAGATTTTTTGTTTAAACATTTCATATCAGACTGATTGGAAATCAGATGGTTTCCATTTATGCTCTCTGCAATATTCACAAGCAGCTTCTCTTGAATTTCTCATTAGAGCATAGTCCCTCAAACAGGAGGAGTGTTGAATGAGATCTGTAAATATATAATATTCCATTTCTTCATATGTAAATATATAGTATTCCCTTTCTGTTCATAAACTATACATTATTTGGTGTTGTCTACATGACAATTCAGACTTGCCTTTTTTTTTTTTTTTTAAAGTTCATCTTGGCTTTTTCCAGACATTATGGGTGGAGATTTTCAAAAGGGCTCATCATCGGCCTACCTCTGTTCTCACTGAAGTTACACAGGGCTAACTCTGCTTGCATTAAAGTCAGTGGACTCCCACTGGCTACAATGGGAACAAAATTAAGCCAATGCCGAGTACTTTTGAAAATTCCACCCTATTTGTCTCATTTTTAAAATGAAGATTCATACGCAAGTGCAAATATCTACATCCAATGAAACACATAAAGATGGTTCTCTGACACTTCTTACTTTGCCTCCTTCTGCATGGTACTCTTTTTCCTCAGCACCAAGCAGTTTTGCCAGTCCAAAGTCAGTGATCTTCACATGTTGAGGAGTCTTCACAAGGACATTCCGGGCAGCCAGATCACGGTGCACCAAGCGACGTTCTTCTAAGTAGCTCATTCCCTACAATAGATGTATGACATGCAATTGGCATACCTCTCTCTCTACCACCCACACTCACTCTATAAAGGAGAGGGGAAAATAAAGGGTCAGCTCTGCAGCTTGGGTAAATAGGCACAGCTTGACTGGGATCAAGCCCAAGAAATCTACATACAGGATGTTACTTTCTAACAGTGGGGCAAATGCTGCTCTGTGCAACCCGACTGACTTCAGTGTGACTTGGCGTAGAATTTGGCCACCATGTTAATACACATGTCGATATACCTACAGGTTAACTTCACATACACTATAAATACATCATTAGACTCTTCTTACAATTCAATCAAAAACAAGTTATACCACTAAGCAGTTGATTCTCTGCCTCATTGTGGTAGACACTGTTTTGTAACTGGTAATACTCAGGCATACAGAGATGATGGAAAACAAACTAAACAAAAAAAACCCTATATTTTCATGGCTGAGTTCAATGACAGCTCTTTTTCAGGTTCCCCTTGAAACAGTTTCAGTAACCCCTGTGCTTAGATAACTCTTGACATACTATGTATGCTCTTTTTATACAATTTTGGGAAGAATAGGACATCTTTCTCCATGTTGATTGTACAGCTCTTTCAGGCAGATAAAAGGGTTAATTGGGCTGGTTTACTTTTGTTATGCCATGAACCTAACATCTATTTCTGACCATGGAGTTTCCCACCCCCCCACCCCTTTGTGTGTGAACTGCATTAAAAGAGAGAAACATTCAGGTTGTTAGGCTTCTTTCAAGATCCTTTTTAGGAACTACAATCATTCCCTGTTGTTCTGGTTTTTGTTTGAACAGCTAATACAGACAGCACTTTCAGGCTACACACACAGCATGAAAAGGATCATACTAATGTGATGACAAAGCACCTGGGGAGTCATTCACTCCCCAGCTCCCACTCCCATTCTTGCTCTACCATTAAGCTGGACCACCCTCAAATCTTACAGTGAAGCTTCTAAGCAAAACTTCCTCAATGTACTAAGGGCGGTTAATGTTGCCAAAATAAACCACCCCAGCAAACTGGCATAATGCCACTATGTAAGTTAATGTAATTGAATAAATTTCAATTTTAATGAACTGAGCGTTTGAAACAAAAAGTCTTGAGCTATCAATAAAAAAAAGCCTACATTGGAAAAATCATTTGATCTAGTCAGGAAGAAGAGAATTATCCTGCTAAATCAGTTTTGGTAAAGAGGTTCAAAACAGCTGAGAGGCAAGGAATCAGTCTTAAATTAATTTACTTAAGACCCTGATCCTTCAAATACTTATGCACAGAAGGCAATGGGCTGCTCATACAAACACATTCTTAACTTTGTGCTGGATCAGGATTTACAGAGTTTATTATAAACCAGGGGACTATAATACACTCTCAGGGCCACTCAACAACTTTTCTTCATACAGAATCATAAAAATGTGGGGCAGGAAGGGACCTTGAGAGGTCATCTAGTCCAGCCCCCTACACTGAGGCAGGGCCAAGTAAACCTAGACCATCCTTGAGAAGCTGTTTGTCTAACCCTGTTCTTAAAAACATCCAATGATGGGGATTCCACAACCTAGTTAGTGCAGTGCTTAACTATTCTTATAGTTAGACGGTTTTTCTTAATATCTAACCTACATCTCCCTTGCTTCAGATTAAGCCCATTACTTCTTGTCCTGCCTTCAGTGCACATGAAGAACAACTGATGATCGAACTCTTTATAACAGTCCTTAATATATCTGAAGACTATCATCAGGTCCCCCCCATCAGTCTTTCTCCTCAAGACTAAACATGCCCAGATTTTTTTTTTTTAACCTTTTCTCATAGGTCACGTTTTCCAAACCTTTTCTCATTTTTGTTGTTCTCCTCTGGACTCTTTCCAATTTATCCACATCTTTCCTAAAGTGCGGCATCCAGAACTGGACACAGTATTCAAGCTGAGGCCTCACCATGCCAAGTAGAGTCAGACAATTACCTCCCATATGACACTCCTATTAACACATCCCAGGAATGGTATTCACCTTTTTCACAGCTGCATCACATTGCTAACTAATATTCAATTTGTGAACCGCTGTAACCCCCTGATCCTTTTTCAGCATACCACCACCTACCCAGTTATTCCCCATTTTGTGTTTATTGAGTTTAAAAGGTGTCTTCAAAACCCTTTTATCTGAAAGCTAGTCATTCTGTACACTAATGAAATATATTAGCAGTAATGTATATTAAAAAATGATTTTAAAAGCACAGGAAGAGAAACAAAAATAAACCGTGAAAGGGTCCATAAGGGAGCTTGTTTCCTGCTTGTTAGTTAAGAGAGATGAACAGATTTGCTATGATTTACAGAAAAAACAACAGTGTGGGTTTTTAAAGAAGCAGATCATGTCCAAAAATTGGACAAGATTTGTGGATGTAGTAACGAAGAAAATGTTGATAGGAGAAATTAGCAGCATTATTTATGCGGATTTTAAGAAGAGCATTTAGTAAAGACCCACTCAAAAGACAATGGTAGATGGTCAGTTAGTAGCTGTGAAGATGGGAGTTGTTCTGAGTTGGAGGGTGAACTGGCATGAAATCAAACAGAAGCTAACAATTATGAATGGTAACAGTTCAGATGCGCAGAAGAGTGTAACTAATGAGATGTCACAATTTTAGGACCAATTTTGTCCCCTGAGAAATTAATGATGGGGAAGATGGGAAATGTAGTCAGGAGATAAAATCTCCAAAAGTAGCAAAATCAGGAAGGTGCTGTAATCAGTTTAAAATTAGACAGACTAGAAACAGGGGCGCTTTGCATGATACACTGAATAAAGTTTATTTACTGTATTGTGTGCAGTACACTACAAAACTCAGAAAGAAAAGGAGCTACGTAGTTTGTGGATTCATCTCTGAAGTCTTCAGTATGTTTATCAAAAGCAAACCATAGCAGGCAAACTTGGAATGTGTACAAGGTCTCCAGGGATTAATAATAAGTGTGCCATGTGTGTTCAGGTTAATTTAAAAATAGGTATTACAGAAATGAATATAATGCAACCAGGGACCTGAGCATCTTAGAGATTGTTAGTCTCATTAAGAAAGATAATAAAACTACATCTATCGTTCCCTCCCCTTAGCTCCCCCCCACCAACCTCTTCCTAATGACCCCTGTTGCAATGAGGTTTTTCATCCTCCTGCACCTTAAAATGGCGAAAGGGATTTTGCTCCAGCTTTCCAAAAAAGTCACCTTGGAACTGGCCCGAACATAGAAATAGTCAGTCCACAAGGGGGATGCTTCACATAGTGACTGAAAATGGGATGTTATAATAGGAACTATTCACCACCTTAACAATGGACATATGTAGTAACTGCTGTAACACAAGGATTTAGAAAAAGAAGATGGAAAGGTTATGTGCTTCCCAAGCTTCCTATCTTTCTGCTCCCCTCTACCCCACTCTAGACATTCAACCACTATTTTCCTCCCAGGACAAATCCTTCTATAAAAAAAGGAAAATGCTAACTTAGATTCCAACAAAATTACTCACAGCTAACTCAAGACAAGACCTGTTTTACCCCTCATTTTCTTCTTTTGCGTGAGCTACAGTAGCTTAGTTTTATTTACTTAGTTATTTAATCAGGTCTGTAAATCTGCATTACAAGAGACAGAATAATTTATGAAGATAACTCTACTTAAAGAACATCCCAGCACTGACTGTAAGATCATGACTTAGCATATGCCATCAATAAATGATAACATTGAGCCAATCACTGTTGTTGGCTAATGATTTTCCTTGTAAACAACATTACTTTAATTGCTAGTGATCCATTGCGTGCTCTGTGCAGTCCCAATTCATGCTTATACCACCCTGAAATATTGAGTTGCTCTACTACGTACCGATTTTATATTAACTGTAACTGCAGCTATTTTCTCAACATTCTTTGGAATAACTGGGTTAACAATATACAAAGGCACGATAAATGGGTACGTGAATATACAGTCGGTGCTGTAAATGACCCACTATGAAATATTAACACAGCAGATGCAAGCTTCTACTGGCTAGAGAGATATTACTCGTGCTGCTGGTATTCTCCTTTGTAAGCACAGGGAATCTCCAAGTAATTGTTTTTCCTTCTGCTAATTTGGGCAGCCCTTCCTGCTTTTATCCACAGACATCTCTCTTGTCCCTCCCGTGCTAATTACACTTTTCAAGGAGTACACCAAAGCTAGAGAGGCAGCATATTGACATCGTACAGTTTAAATGAAAATGTCAGAGCACCAGGCTTTCAATCAAATTACAGAAATGTCAATAAAAGGAGTACTAGTGGCACCTTAGAGACTAACCAATTTATGTGAGCATAAGCTTTCGTGAGCTACAGCTCACTTCATCGGATGCATTCAATGGAAAATAAATCCCCTCACTGTATTTTCCACTGAATGCATCCGATGAAGCTAGCTGTAGCTCATGAAAGCTTATGCTCAAATAAATTGGTTAGTCTCTAAGGTGCCACTAGTACTCCTTTTCTTTTTGCGAATACAGACTAACATGGCTGCTACTCTGAGATATGTCAATGTAAACAAAAAGAAAAGGAGTACTTGTGGCACCTTAGAGACTAACCAATTTATTTGAGCATGAGCTTTCGTGAGCTACAGCTCACTTCATCAGATGTATACCGTGGAAACTGCAGCAGACTTTATATACACACAGAGAATATGAAACAATACCTCCTCCCACCCCACTGTCCTGCTGGTAATAGCTTATCTAAAGTGATCAACAGGTGGGCCATTTCCAGCACAAATCCAGGTTTTCTCACCCTCCACCCCCCCACACAAATTCACTCTCCTGCTGGTGCTAGCCTATCCAAAGTGACAACTCTTTACATAATCAAGTCGGGCTATTTCCTGCATAGATCCAGGTTTTCTCACATCCCCCCCACCCCCATACACACACAAACTCACTCTCCTGCTGGTGATATCTCATCCAAACTGACCACTCTCCAAGTTTAAATCCAAGTTAAACCAGAACATCTGGGGGGGGGGGGGGGTAGGAAAAAACAAGAGGAAACAGGCTACCTTGCATAATGACTTAGCCACTCCCAGTCTCTATTTAAGCCTAAATTAATAGTATCCAATTTGCAAATGAATTCCAATTCAGCAGTTTCTCGCTGGAGTCTGGATTTGAAGTTTTTTTGTTTTAAGATAGCGACCTTCATGTCTGTGATTGCGTGACCAGAGAGATTGAAGTGTTCTCCGACTGGTTTATGAATGTTAGAATTCTTGACATCTGATTTGTGTCCATTTATTCTTTTACGTAGAGACTGTCCAGTTTGACCAATGTACATGGCAGAGGGGCATTGCTGGCACATGATGGCATATATCACATTGGTGGATGTGCAGGTGAACGAGCCTCTGATAGTGTGGCTGATGTTATTAGGCCCTGTGGTGGTGTCCCCTGAATAGATATGTGGGCACAATTGGCAACGGGCTTTGTTGCAAGGATAAGTTCCTGGGTTAGTGGTTCTGTTGTGTGGTATGTGGTTGTTGGTGAGTATTTGCTTCAGGTTGGGGGGGCTGTCTGTAGGCAAGGACTGGCCTGTCTCCCAAGACTTGTGAGAGTGTTGGGTCATCCTTTAGGATAGGTTGTAGATCCTTAATAATGCGTTGGAGGGGTTTTAGTTGGGGGCTGAAGGTGACCACTAGTGGCGTTCTGTTATTTTCTTTGTTAGGCCTGTCCTGTAGTAGGTAACTTCTGGGAACTCTTCTGGCTCTATCAATCTGTTTCTTCACTGCCGCAGGTGGGTATTGTAGTTGTAAGAATGCTTGATAGAGATCTTGTAGGTGTTTGTCTCTGTCTGAGGGGTTGGAGCAAATGCGGTTGTATCGCAGAGCTTGGCTGTAGATGATGGATCGTGTGGTGTGGTCAGGGTGAAAGCTGGAGGCATGCAGGTAGGAATAGCGGTCAGTAGGTTTCCGGTATAGGGTGGTGTTTATGTGGCCATTGTTTATTAGCACTGTAGTGTCCAGGAAGTGGATCTCTTGTGTGGACTGGACCAGGCTGAGGTTGGTGGTGGGATGGAAATTGTTGAAATCATGGTGGAATTCCTCAAGGGCTTCTTTTCCATGGGTCCAGATGATGAAGATGTCATCAATAGAGCGCAAGTAGAGTAGGGGCTTTAGGGGACGAGAGCTGAGGAAGCGTTGTTCTAAATCAGCCATAAAAATGTTGGCATACTGTGGGGCCATGCGGGTACCCATAGCAGTGCCGCTGATCTGAAGGTATACATTGTCCCCAAATGTGAAATAGTTATGGGTAAGGACAAAGTCACAAAGTTCAGCCACCAGGTTAGCCGTGACATTATCGGGGGATAGTGTTCTTGACGGCTTGTAGTCCATCTTTGTGTGGAATGTTGGTGTAGAGGGCTTCTACATCCATAGTGGCCAAGATGGTGTTATCAGGAAGGTCACCGATGGATTGAAGTTTCCTCAGGAAGTCAGTGGTGTCTCGAAGGTAGCTGGGAGTGCTGGTAGCGTAGGGCCTGAGGAGGGAGTCTACATAGCCAGACAATCCTGCTGTCAGGGTGCCAATGCCTGAGATGATGGGGCGCCCAGGATTTCCAGGTTTATGGATCTTGGGTAGTAGATAGAATATCCCAGGTCGGGGTTCCAGGGGTGTGTCTGTGCGGATTTGATCTTGTGCTTTTTCAGGAAGTTTCTTGAGCAAATGCTAAAGTCTGCTGCAGTTTCCACGGTATACATCTGATGAAGTGAGCTCGTCCAACACGAGTTTCTGGAGAGCTCACTACCCTATACACTGAGATGTATACCGTGGAAACTGCAGCAGACTTCAGCATTTGCTCAAGAAACTTCCTGAAAAAGCACAAGATCAAATCCGCACAGACACACCCCTGGAACCCCGACCTGGGATATTCTATCTACTACCCAAGATCCATAAACCTGGAAATCCTGGGCGCCCCATCATCTCAGGCATTGGCACCCTGACAGCAGGATTGTCTGGCTATGTAGACTCCCTCCTCAGGCCCTACGCTACCAGCACTCCCAGCTACCTTCGAGACACCACTGACTTCCTGAGGAAACTTCAATCCATCGGTGACCTTCCTGATAACACCATCTTGGCCACTATGGATGTAGAAGCCCTCTACACCAACATTCCACACAAAGATGGACTACAAGCCGTCAAGAACACTATCCCCGATAATGTCACGGCTAACCTGGTGGCTGAACTTTGTGACTTTGTCCTTACCCATAACTATTTCACATTTGGGGACAATGTATACCTTCAGATCAGCGGCACTGCTATGGGTACCCGCATGGCCCCACAGTATGCCAACATTTTTATGGCTGATTTAGAACAACGCTTCCTCAGCTCTCGTCCCCTAAAGCCCCTACTCTACTTGCGCTCTATTGATGACATCTTCATCATCTGGACCCATGGAAAAGAAGCCCTTGAGGAATTCCACCATGATTTCAACAATTTCCATCCCACCACCAACCTCAGCCTGGTCCAGTCCACACAAGAGATCCACTTCCTGGACACTACAGTGCTAATAAACAATGGCCACATAAACACCACCCTATACCGGAAACCTACTGACCGCTATTCCTACCTGCATGCCTCCAGCTTTCACCCTGACCACACCACACGATCCATCATCTACAGCCAAGCTCTGCGATACAACCGCATTTGCTCCAACCCCTCAGACAGAGACAAACACCTACAAGATCTCTATCAAGCATTCTTACAACTACAATACCCACCTGCGGCAGTGAAGAAACAGATTGATAGAGCCAGAAGAGTTCCCAGAAGTTACCTACTACAGGACAGGCCTAACAAAGAAAATAACAGAACGCCACTAGTGGTCACCTTCAGCCCCCAACTAAAACCCCTCCAACGCATTATTAAGGATCTACAACCTATCCTAAAGGATGACCCAACACTCTCACAAGTCTTGGGAGACAGGCCAGTCCTTGCCTACAGACAGCCCCGCAACCTGAAGCAAATACTCACCAACAACCACATACCACACAACAGAACCACTAACCCAGGAACTTATCCTTGCAACAAAGCCCGTTGCCAATTGTGCCCACATATCTATTCAGGGGACACCATCACAGGGCCTAATAACATCAGCCACACTATCAGAGGCTCGTTCACCTGCACATCCACCAATGTGATATATGCCATCATGTGCCAGCAATGCCCCTCTGCCATGTACATTGGTCAAACTGGACAGTCTCTACGTAAAAGAATAAATGGACACAAATCAGATGTCAAGAATTCTAACATTCATAAACCAGTCGGAGAACACTTCAATCTCTCTGGTCACGCAATCACAGACATGAAGGTCGCTATCTTAAAACAAAAAAACTTCAAATCCAGACTCCAGCGAGAAACTGCTGAATTGGAATTCATTTGCAAATTGGATACTATTAATTTAGGCTTAAATAGAGACTGGGAGTGGCTAAGTCATTATGCAAGGTAGCCTGTTTCCTCTTGTTTTTTCCTACCCCCCCCCCCCCAGATGTTCTGGTTTAACTTGGATTTAAACTTGGAGAGTGGTCAGTTTGGATGAGATATCACCAGCAGGAGAGTGAGTTTGTGTGTGTATGGGGGTGGGGGGGATGTGAGAAAACCTGGATCTATGCAGGAAATAGCCCGACTTGATTATGTAAAGAGTTGTCACTTTGGATAGGCTAGCACCAGCAGGAGAGTGAATTTGTGTGGGGGGGTGGAGGGTGAGAAAACCTGGATTTGTGCTGGAAATGGCCCACCTGTTGATCACTTTAGATAAGCTATTACCAGCAGGACAGTGGGGTGGGAGGAGGTATTGTTTCATATTCTCTGTGTGTATATAAAGTCTGCTGCAGTTTCCACGGTATACATCTGATGAAGTGAGCTGTAGCTCACGAAAGCTCATGCTCAAATAAATTGGTTAGTCTCTAAGGTGCCACAAGTACTCCTTTTCTTTTTGCGAATACAGACTAACACGGCTGTTCCTCTGAAATGTAAACAAAGTTGAACAGGTTGTTCAAATGCGACACCTTGCAAATGGCTATGATCACTGAACATTAAAAAATTTTAAGCAACCTCATGCTTGTGAGAGGTGTAGGAAAGACCATGGACTGTGCAGGAAAAGGACCTCTGTTTATACAAAGAAAAGGGAGAGCATAGGTACGAGCCATGCAATATCTCCTACACTGCTCTGCCATGGTGGCACAGCCCTAATATGGAGGATTACTTCTAAGGACTAGAGAGTATCATTTAGTTTCCATGCTGCCTTTCCTCCTTTGTCTCTGTGCTGAATCTGACAACGTGTCAATTTGTGCCAGATGTGATAGTGATTTTGTTATATGGATATACATCCACTGGAACTGGGCTAAGTAGACCAACTTATTGCACACAAGCTACAGAAGAACCACCTAGTGGCACTGTCTTTCGGTCATAAACAACCAGCATCAGAATGCGCTGTTGTTTTAATAGCAAAAGGCTCTGCATTTGATCACTATTCCTGTGCGGTCAGCAAAATCAGGGCATTAATCCCCAACACAGAAGAGATTTTACCATCACATTTGCCCTTGTGACATAGCATGACAGAAATAGCATTTTGGAATGGACCGTTTATGGATTATTGGCGGAGTAGCAGGGTATTGCATAGGACTGACAGTCAAAAACTGCCACGTTCTAATCCCTCCTGCTGCCACTGATTCACTGTATACCTTTGGGCAAGTCATTCAATCGCAATCTGTGCAAGTTTCATCTCTTGTCCAGTGGTGATAACCCTGCATTGTGCAGGAATGTTCTGAGGATCAGTTAATATTTGCACAGTGGTTTGAAAATCTAAAGCACTACACAAACAAAAAGTGTGGTTACCTTTAGTATCAAGTATAACAAGTCTTTCTATCCTTGGGTAAAATACAAAGACCTACCAGACAGCTAGATTACATACTTTCAGATCTCTTGGTTCTGGATATAATCAGAGTTTTGGATGGACTGTGCTGCCATTCATTTACCTTTGCAATCTGCACACACCAGTTGAGAAGGTACTGGGAGCCAATGTTGTCCTTGTGCTCTCGGATGTAGTCAAGGAGGCAGCCAAAAGGCATAAGCTGTGTGATAAGCTGGACAGTAGAAGTAAGGCAGATTCCCAGCAAGCGGCACACATGGGGATTGTCAACGCTAGCCATCACGTAAGCTTCCTGATCACAAAAAGAAAAGACATCCTGAAACAGTCCCTCATGTATGACAGAACTATTAGGATGCAAGAGGCAGTAGTAAAAAACAAAACAAAGAAACATCTGGCATTTTTCTGATTACTGAACCTTTTTGTAAAACGTTGGGTCTCTAATGCATATTTCCCATTGCACTGAGAGGTCCTGAATCTGAATGCTGAGACATCATTTAAAATGGCACCAGGGAACTCATTTTCCTGGTTCTTGTATACCAAGCAGTGAGTTCAGTGCAAACTTCCAGAGACAAAAACAGTACTTGATCATTTCAAATTTAATGCGAGCGGCTAGGTGCCTGGCATTTTTGAAGATCAGGAAAGATATTTAGCAGCCTAAATGAGGATTTAGGAGCCTAATTTTAAGCAACCATTTTTGAAAGTCTTGGCCCTGATTGGTAAAGCTTGTGTGTGTGTTATGGCAACATGAGCAATATATGAAGGTGTTTATAATGTATTTTTATACAGTGGGGAACCAGGATGAAATCAGCCTTCCATCAGCGCAGCCTTGTAATGAGATTGAACTTTAGGGCCTGATTTTCGAAAATGTGTGAGCGACTACTCACCTACCAGGTGCATTCATTAACACGACCATGCCAAAAATAAATATCTATCAAGGTTTTATGCACGCAGTGGCCAATTATAGCGTTCAATTATTAACTTCCAGTATAGGTTTCTCCCCCCTCTTCACTCCTGACTTTAGAGCATCTGTGGGCCTGTTTTTTAAACAGTGATTTCCATTTTTTGCAGGCTAGTTTTCACACCCAGTATGAACTGCGAGCATAAAGTTGTGCCCTCAAAAATGGAGGCCCTATGGAAAAATCAGGTTTAATGGTTCCCGATCATCTTTTTTCTTGTTTTCATTCCTGATCGACAGGATATTGCTTTTGGTTATTCTTTTTCTGACGCAAAGTTAATACAGAACTAAGTGGAAAATTTTCCACGCTAGTGAACTTTTAGGTCAGCATTTAAATCAGCATCTGGAATGACAGACACCAGCTAATCATCCCTTGACAGATAGCAGCCCAAAATAAGCAAGCAAGCAAGCAAAGTCAAGACACTTCTGTGGTGGAGGTAGAAAGAGTTCTGCTCTTTAGAAAGGTTTAAGAAATGCAGTATGATAGCAGTTTAATCATCATCTAACAGGCTTTTAACAGATGTCACCTAGTTGTGAGGCTGGCAGGGGGCTATTGTTAAAAGCACATTTAAGCAAAGACGTTAAAAAAATCTGAAATCCATGAGCAATATTTTCCTCTGCCACCGCACTGTTATTTCACATTGCCAGCCTAAGGATGATAAGTGTTACTGACACATGATATTTATTACATGATACTGAGGTGACAATGTTGAGAGGTCTGCTTTGAGGGATTTTGTTTGACATATAACCCACCCTCATGCTGCCCTTTACAAAGGGTTCCTGGACAGAAGGATCACAGAAGATTACTACAGAACTGGATAAAGAATGACCACCTTACTACAAAATACTGAAACTAACCTATAGACTTCTAGATGGCTGCCAATTAAATTCTACCTGGTTTAAAAATTCTAGGAAAAGCATGTCATTCTCTACTAAATTTTACAGGTTTTCAGATTAATTTATATAATACCTCTTGGTTCAATGCCTCACGCATTCTATAAGATGTTTCCACATGAATAGAGGCTCAATTATGTTCATCCCAATGGGCTTAAAAACCATGTAAACCCAGCAATAAAGGAAGTCTGTTTCTTGTACTGTTTCCTGTTTAGTCTCAGATCCATACTGAATTCATTTTAACTGAATGAAAAATCTGCAAACTCAGAGCTGTTCTCACTCCCCAGCTGCTTCACAGCCTACAAGGAGCAGACCAAGACTGGGAAATTGGGAATTGAATGTGTGGAGTGGGTGTATGGGCCACACGGAGTATGGCATTCTTCCAGGATTTGACACTGCCTATTAAATCTGATACTGCAAAGTAAAATAGGCCATAGCCTCTTTGAAGAACCATTGAACTTATAATGGAACCATTGTGCAGTCACAGGTCTCTTTAAATATTTTACTAAATTAAAGCAAGTCTTTGTTTCAATTATTTATCTTGGAAATCTCTGAGGTACGCTCTGACCCGCTCCAACTATGCTTGGTATTTCGTAACAAATCTCCTGAACTAGCCCTGCACTAATAAAGCCAATGGGAGTTGTGGCTGGAGAATAAACTGGATCATATGAACAAATGCTTTTTTACATGCTGAATACCTAGCCATTCTTCTTACGGAAAGTGGCTAATTAATTAGCCACCATCTCCAAGGGATCAGTGACCTTGGAGAGCTGTTCAGTAAAATCTTTTTGAAGTTCTGTTTATTTCTCTCTCTCTCTGCTTCCATCGCTTTGTATCTTTTCTTTTCTTGTGAAATGTGGAATGAATTCCATCAACTAAGTCATCTAAGAAGTAAACAGTGCTAAAAATGGCAAGAGCTGCTTGCTAAGAGGTCCTACTTCAATGGGAAAAAGAAAAAAAGATCATGTGGAGATATCTGAACTTTGTTTAAAAAACAGTACTTTGATATTTCAGAAGAGCACACATGCCACAATCTGTTACTGTCCTGTCATGGGAATAGCTTGATCTGCTGAATGCAGAAACTGTAATTTTGGCTTATTAATTAACCCTTCCTTCACTCTACATGAATTTAGTACAATTAGGTCCAAGTCAACTTTTGTCAAGTTTGTGTTATTTTCTCCATAATAGTTTCAATCAGCTTTTTAATGTCCTTTTAATTTCTGTCATTAAATAAGGCTAAAAATATTCCATGAGGGGGAATATCAGTGAGTTTTCCTTTTGCCATAGGTTTTCCTACAGCAGGGGGTGATAGTATGGTTGCATCCTTTGTTTGTGTCTGCCTGTCAGAGTGCAAATACATGGACGGTATTTGTGAATACATAGCCAGCTTTTAGTAAAGCAACTTAAATCAGCGGGCATTTTGTTGGACACATTGGTCCTGAAAGTAACCACCTTTTCTTTTGTATTTCAAAAGTAGATGTATAAAATGATGTGCCATATCTATACACTAAAATATATGTGAAATAGAAAGTTTTTCTAGGATGAAATGAGGATTCAAAAGTGCTTTATTGTAGGCCCATAGCTAAGGTTGCCCAATACCTCCCCATTGTGAGACCATGTTTTCAGTTGCTTATCATTTTGCCAAACTTTAACCATTTAGGCTGAAATTTTCCTGGCCGGGAGTCAGTCTCAGGCTGATTTTTTTTTGTTCTTGTTGTTGAAAGTTTCAGCTAAAATAGTTCAGTCACTTCTGAGACTAAGGGCTTTTACTATGTTATTAACCAATTAAGTTATCAACTTGCACTGAACTTATTTGCTGTGAGATATATAAACTAAATACTTCCCCGGTCTTTTGGGTAAAGTTGATTGCTAATTTGGCTCCTGAACCACTGAGGTTTGAGTATCACTGATGTAATTAAAGACGGTACCATAAGATGGTACCATAAACCAAGATCCAGGGATCCTCGAGCTGTTTGAGCCTAACTTGTGTTTATATATAAACACGTAACTTTTCTTGGATGAAATAAAGTGTGTGTGTATATATAGTTAGGCTCTAACAGCAAAGTTCAGATTTGCCTCCATACCAGATTGTTCCCTAAGCTAGAGGATCCCTGGATCTGGGTTTATGATTCATCCATTGTAAATATATGTATATTTTATCACTCACGGATTTTTACAGCATATATATACATATTTTTTTCTAAAATATATATGCCATGATCGCCAAGCAAGGGGCAGTACAGTGTTGTGCGGCCCTCGGAGCAGCCCTGGGAGGCAGACTGTGACTCAGAATCACACTCCATCCCCTGCTCAGTGCGGGAGGTACCCTGTACCAGATCTAAACCTTGTACAATGTACCTCCCCTTCCAGGCTGGCGTAGATAGCTCCTGGGGCTTTGGAGGGGGTCCAGACATAGACCAGCTCTACCTGTGAGTCACTGAGTGTGTCTGACCTGTCCAAGCACATTAGAAGTAGAATTCATATGAGTTTCCCTCCCACCCCCTTTCTAATTATGAGCTAGATCCAAGAAAGAAAATAAAATCCAACTGGTTTCTGTGGTACTTGGATTTGTCAAGAGGCCAGAGGATTTTTTACAGTTTCCGTGGCACATGAGCCAGCCAGACAGATTTTTTAACATTTCATTTAGTCCCATGTAACTATGCATTTAACCCTATGATACTCTGAAATATCAGAGTCCAAAGAGTATTAGTGATAATTATTATTTTTATAATTTGTATTACCATAGCACATAGGAGCCCCCGTCACATACCAGGACCCCATTGTGCTAGGTGCTGTACAAATACAGAACAAAGAGATGGTCTCTGCCTTAAGCTCACTGTTTAACATGCCCCTTAGCACCAAATCAAGGTACCTGTACACAGTGCTAGTGAATGACCTATGCACAAAGGGGTCCATGGGAGATAAAGGGAATGCAATGGTACCCACAGACCAACCCCACAGAGTGGCTGCAGGATAGAGGGTTTGGCTGGCCTGTTTAAGCATGCACCAGTTGTCAACAGATGTTGATCTTTTAATGATGACTGCAGTAACTCAAAACCACACTTTTCAGGGGATGCACAGAAGGCACAGAGTGGAATTATTAGCCTAAAATACGATCATCTTCATTCCATTTTAAAATATCATCAACTATTCTGCTGCTAGTAAAATAGCTTAACATTGCTTAGAGCTAGATCCTGTAATTTCTGTAAAGCCTTGAGGTGCTGGGAGAGCAATCGTAGAGATTGTGTCACACTATTATCTTTATCCGGTCTTACTTGAAACATCTCAAGTGATTGGGCTTCTACACTTTCTCTTGGCAGATTGTTCCATTGTCTAATAGATATCACTGTTAGAATGTTTTAATGGATAATCAATCAGTCTTAATTTGACGTTTTAAAATTTCATGCCTTTATTGCTTGTAAGGTAGGATTTTCAAAAAGCGCTCTGCTGTTGGTGTAACTCTGCCCCCATTAAAGTCAACGGTAAACACCCCGCTGACTACAATGAGCGTTGATGGGTCTCCTATTGAGTTCAGTGGGAGCAGGGCCAGAGGGCTCTGCAACTTCTCACCATTTACCTACATGTATACACCCTTCAAGTATTTATATATAATTATCTTGGTCTTTTCTCCACCCCAGCTCACTATATCTGTCAATAGGAAACCCTGAATACGAAAACCAGTCCTTCAAAGGCTAAAGATGCCTTGTGCACTTGATATAAATGCAAAGCAAACGTCATCAATGCTACAGGTATTTAGGGGACACTCTCCCCCTCTCATTTTTCCTCCCATTAAGACTACCACCAGCAAAGATTTAATAGTACCAGACAAAGATGAAAACTCACATCAAGTATTTCCTTGTTGGCTTTTGGGGAGGTAGCCTCTCTCAATTCCTTAATAGCAACAGGAATTTTAACCTTCTCTCCTTCTGGAATCCAGAGACCCTATAAAATAAGAAGAAAGGTTACCTAGGTCCTTAGCCAATGATTCACTATCACTGAGGTAATTGCAAATGCATGTTTTTACATTTATGTATATGGTGTTTTCAGACCAGACTGAAACATTCTAAGCAATAATTAGTGGAGGCTAAGCAGGCCGCGAAGGAGGTATATAGCAGTCACACTCTGGATAGTCTCTTGTTAATGGAGTGGCATCCATCTCAATCTCTTGGGCCTGATTTTCAAAAACATGCATGTGCAATTACCTTGAGTCATATGTGCAAAGAGCCCAGAAGATGCATAAATGGCAATATGTGTGCACCAATATCTAATTAGTACTAACAATCACGGCAGTTGTACATGCAAGTTGGACACAACTGGACATTACTAGTCTCTGCTGAACTCGTTTTTCACTATGTTGATTACTATGTCACTTCTAATTTATAGGCTGCTGAATGATGGGAATCAGGATTTTCTCACATGAAACTAAATTTCAGCCAGCCTGTTCCAAGGGTTATACAATAATCCAATCCTTAATATAATATTATAAGAAGTAAATTCATGTCAGAATGGTTTCTTGTTCACCACCTATTGCATTAGTTAGTCATGTAGGCAGAGGAGTATATGAGGTCAAAAGGGGAAATCTTCAAAAGCACACAAGGGACTTAGGAGTACAAGTGCTATTGAAAAACAATGGGACTTGCACTCCTAAATTTTTTAGGCACATTTGAAAATCTGCCCCCAAGTATCTAAACTTAATTTGATAAGTAAATCTATATTTTACATTTCAGTATCAAATGGTATAAAACAACCCTGAAGCTTCCTCACTGAGAAATCTTTTAGAAAGAGATACTCTCTAGAGAAGGAAAAATAATGGGTGTGTGGAGGGAAATCATTCTGCACAATGATAGAACAGAAAGGGTCCAGTTGCTTTTCTGTAACCCTGTGTGGTTCTTTTGACCCAATGAAAGTGATCCACAAATAAAAAGAGATGATAAAAAAACAAACAAACGAACGAACAAACAAAAAACCGAACAAAATTCTGCTTAGCACAGTAGACTGAGTTGGCCATACTTTGATTTCTCTTCTTAACATTTTAACATCCTTAAGAAAGTATTTCTGGCAGTGGTACTTTTTAAATAGACACATTGGTTCCATATTCAGCTGCATGGCTCTCATAAGATCTTATGAAAAACTTCTTGTGTGTTCTCTCTCTCTCTCTCACACACACACACACACACTTTACCTGGCCCAAGCTAAAGATGATTTGAATATAACTCAATTAAAAAAGAAAAAAAAAAGACTGTTTTCAGCTTCCAATGCATACACTGTTTAGATGGCTTTGTGTGCATGTGTGTGGTGAGAAAAACATGGTGGTCTTACCTTATAAACTGTACCAAAAGCTCCAGAGCCTAGAACTTTGACCTTTTTAAATTCTGTTTCCTTTAGAATCCTCAGAAGAGCTTGGTTTGGCGCCTCGCCACTGGGTGTTAGAGGTTCAACAAGCTATTGTGTGCAAAGGAATTGGACTTTAGAAAGATATACTGTAGAGGAGGAAATCAAGCAGCACACACTATTGAAACTGAGCAAAAACTGTTGGTAATAATGAAAATTTTGTCCCACATGAAGTATACATGGTGCAAATTCTGTTCTGACTTACAGCTATGAAAATCTAGAGTATCTCCGGAGTTCATGACTTCAGTGGAGTTACTCCAGATTTACACCTGTGTAAATAAGACAAGAATGAACTCCATGGAATTATTACACCAGCTTTATGTAGCATAAGTGAGAGCAGAATGTGATCTTGGCATGGCAACTAAAATTTTAGAAGAAAGTGGAGAGATGTTATTGTTCATTTTAGGATGTAAAATGTATACCCTTAAAACATGCACATAATGCTGACCAGTTTAATTAAAGATTCATTTCTAAAACTAAGTCAGAAGTTAACGATCTACATTTTAAAAGGTTACACTGTGGTCACCCTGAAACTTTGCAGCTTTGCCTTGCTTAACTAGATGCATTTCTTTTGGTATTAGAGGTAGCTTCTATTCTTAGTATAGGGAATATGCACATGCTAAAGTAAGATTATCTAGTTATCCAGGCAAAAAAGGGGGTTTTAAGTTGACTAATAGATTTTATTTATTTGATCCAAATTTTGTTGCAGTATTTTTTCTAAGGAAACAAATTAGTTCCTTCAAATGACAGAAACTAGGCGTTTTCCTAATATTTAAAGTCCCCTTTTACTACCGTCTTGTGTCCTTCTCCTGAATAGCTTTCCTAACTGGAAGTCCACATTTAGTCTGATACAGATCTGTTTTCTGCATGCCAGCCATTTTCCTGTTTCAGTTAATGATTCTCATATTAAGGAGTACAAAATATATAATGTGAACCAAACACAATATGTGCTATTACATTACAACTGTCAAATATGGAGGCTCTTAAAAGGTTGCTAGGTAATGTAGCAAAAAGTAGGGCAGCTTCAGGACTTTTATCACTTGACTTTGCAAAGCTAGCGAGGGAAGCAGGGTCCTTCAGCTGTGAATACAATTTGCTAGTAGCCTATTAAAACTGAATGGGAAGGAGAAAGGGAAGAGTCGGACCTGATTTGTTTTGATCCTGGATATGCATTTTGGTGTTTCACATGTAAAATACCCAGAGGATAATACTATAACCCTTATGAAGTCTATACCATGCAGTGTATAAAGTTTAGTACAAGAAGCATGAAAGCCCAGTTCTCATCCAGCATGGTGAACACATTGTCTTGCAACAGCTTTAAGGGAGATTTCTGTGTTCAGGATTCAGAGTAACAGCCGTGTTAGTCTGTATTCGCAAAAAGAAAAGGAGTACTTGTGGCACCTTAGAGAATAACCAATTATTTGAGCATAAGCTTTCGTGAGCTACAGCTCACTTCATCTGATGCATACTGTGGAAAATACAGAAGATGTTTTTATACACAGACCATGAAAAAATGGGTATTTATCACTACAAAAGGTTTTCTTTCCCCCCACCCCACTCTCCTGCTTGTAATAGCTTATCTAAAGTGATCACTCTCCTTACAATGTGTATGATAATCAAGGTGGGCCATTTCCAGCACAAATCCAGGGTTTAACAAGAACGTCTGAGGAACAGTTGGGGGGGGGGGGGAGGGAGGAGGATAAACAATGGGAAATAGGTTACTTTTTATAATGAATCAACCATTCCCAGTCTCTATTCAAGCCTAAGTTAATTGTATCCAATTTGCAAATTAATTCAATTCAGCAATCTCTCTTTGGAGTCTGTTTCTCAAATTTTTCTGTTGTAATATCGCAACTTTCATGTCTGTAATCGCATGACCAGGGAGACTGAAGTGTTCTCCGACTGGTTTATGAATGTTATAATTCTTGATATTTGATTTGTGTCCATTTATTCTTGTACATAGAGACTGTCCAGTTTGACCAATATACAAGGCAAAGGGGCATTGCTGGCACATATCACATTGGCAGATGTGCAGGTGAACGAGCCTCTGATAGTGTGGCTGATGTTATTAGGCCCTGCGATGGTGTCCCCGAATAGATATGTGGGCACAGTTGGCAACGGGCTTTGTTGCAAGGATAGGTTCCTGAGTTAGTGGTTCTATTGTGTGGTATGTGGCTGCTGGTGAGTATTCGCTTCAGGTTGGGGGACTGTCTGTAGACAAGGACTGGTCTGTCTCCCAAAATTTGTGAGAGTGTTGGGTCATCCTTCAGGATAGGTTGTAGATCCTTGATAATGCGTTGGAGGGGTTTTAGTTGGGGGCTGAAGGTGACGGCTAGTGGCGTTCTGTTATTTTCTTTGTTAGGCCTGTCCTGTAGTAGGTTGACATTGTTGTCCATGTGGAGTGGTTGGTACGGGTAACCTCTCAGGTTATCACTCCCTGCACTGAACATAGTGTAGCCAATAGTACAATAAAAAAGATATCTGTTTTCACTATTGTTAAACTCAAGTTCAGTGAGCAATAGTATTCCAAAAAAAAAGACATGAGTGGAACAGGGGCAACTGAAGGCAATGTTGGCTTTGCAACTGAAACTCGGTCCATAAAGTTCTGTAATGATGTGTGCCCCAGAACAGAATCCAGCTTAATGTCCCAGAGCTGTGTTGGCTCAGCACCACTAACAGGAGTAACGAGTAGTAAAAACAGCCAAAAAAAAAAAATCCCTTATTTTTGTCATTAGAATAAACAGATCAGACATAACAGGTGCTTTTGAAAATACTACTGTAAGTGACTCAGCAGCCTAATTCCCAATGACTTTCAGTGAAAATTAGGCACCTAACTAACCTATGAGCTATTGCAATTTTTACCCACAGAGATAAGATCTGAGATTAAGTAATACGGTGTCATATTTACATAGTCCCTTTTACACATAGAACTGCAGATAACATGCTATCCAAACACCTGATAACATTGTACTTTATGTTTGTGCTAGGGTGAAGTCAGGGCCACTGTATTTTGACCTAATAAAACAGCTTTCTCTGAGATGCTGTGGCACACCAATAAAGTTGGTCAATATATTTAGAAATTGTTTACAATACATACCTCCCTTTCCTGAAGCAGCCTGCGCAATGTACGCTTTCTAACAATGTGACGTCTGCGCATATAAAGCCCTATGACCAAGGCTATCACAACCAAACAAAGGATACTTCCAACAACACCAGCTGCAATGGATGGGATTTTGGAGCTAGAAGACAAAAAGGGGAAAGAGGTCTGTTTTGATATAAGAAATAACAAATGGTGTACTTTTAATACAGCATTCCATGTTAGAAATATGACCAATTGAAGGCTTCAGATCAGTTTAATCATTCAAGCAACATGGGTGTCAATATTCTGAAGCTTTTCATTCAGTGTTTGTGGGGTTTTATTCATTCAGGGTTTGTGGTTGGTTGTTTTTTTAGACTTCAAAATGGCTTCAGTTGCAGGTTTGAAATAGAACAGGTTATATTTTCTCCAAACGCTTCCACTAAACCATTATGGAAACCATTTTTGAACATTTTCATTGACTGAAAACAGGGGTTCAAGAACATTTTTAATACAAATTTAGAGTAAATGTGGTGAAAAATGAGAAATTTTGAAAAAAAAAAAGCCAAACAATTTTGCATTAAATTTTTTATTAAAAAGAAAGGCCATTCTTCAATGAAAAAACTTCATTAGACATTTTTTGACCTTGTCTACTGGAGGTATATATGTATTTAATCTCTTGATTCCTTTCTTCCAGCCTTTTATTGTTCAGGATTTTATAAGTAATTGAGACCCTAAAGTATGCTTTGATCTTAATCAGCCAAATTCATGTATTTCTCATGTTAATCTCGGATTTGTGAACCATTGTCTCGGTCTCTGTACCTGCTCAAATAGTTTTAAAAGCATTTTGAAGTGACACTGTATGTAAGCACCACATTGGATGGTGATTTACTTACTCTTTCTATTTGTCTTGATGATTTTAAAACAGTTATTTCAATACAGAATAAGAACAGAATTTTGCTTTCAGATCCTCACAAAGGATCTTACCTCAGAAACTATGCAGTTGAAGTACACAGATCTCTCACTGACAGCAACAAGAGTCCCATACATCTAGGCCCTGAGCTAGCGAAGCAGTAAAGCACTCGAGTAGTGTCATTGGCTTCAACAGGACTATTCACATGCTTAAAGTTAAGGACATGCTTCACTGAATCAGGGCACTACTGTGCAGTGTCCAGCACAAAAATGTAAACATGGATATGTTCTTCCCAACTATATCATTAATTGTGATGAATGCAATAATTACCCCAATGGACAGCCTTCAAGACCTGGTCCTTTGCACCTGTAAAAAATGATAATTACAAATATATATTAGCACTCGCACCTACTCTGGAATAACTGTATTGTCATTCACAATTTACTGTTTTTAAAAGCTGTCTGAATATTAACTTTCTGATTTATAATTATTAAGCTTTTTGGAAGTATTATTTTGAAAGCTTTACTGCAGAATCAGGGTCCACAGGCTAAGGAGTGCTGTATATTCACTTGAAAGGACAATTTATGAATGTCTGCCTATGAACGTGGAAGAATACAGTCAAGGCATATATGCACATTATTTGAATGCACCATGGATCCCCAGCTTCTTTCCCCTCCCCACCCCCCAATACCTCTGCAGTCTCTACAAGTGCTGCCTTATTCAACAGCTTCAAAAGAGCTGACTTGTTCATCCCTACCCTGGGGGTGCACAAAACAACTGATCACAAAGAGTTGTTTGGTGGCCTGTGTGAAAGGAGCTAGTGATCTTGCTCTGAGTGGGCAAATGTTCACTGCAACAGGCTGGCCCTTTTGTTAAGGGGGCAGCAAGGACTGAATACATCTGGAGACAGAACTAACCTCTCACTAGGGGAGGTCCTTCATACAAGGCATGGGGCTATGAGGAAAAGCTTGCATTGCTGCTTACCACACTGTACGGTAGCTGTTTTATGGATTAGTAAAGGATGTCAGTGTCCAGGTCTTCTAGTCGAATGAAAAATATCACTAGCAGACACATACCCTATCATTCACTGATTAGGAGATTTGGTTGCACTATTCTACCACTGTGTGCACTATTCGTATAAGAATCTATGATATTTTTCATTGAGGGTCTAACATCTGGCTTTACTGACACCGAGTAGATTTGTGCTAGAATGTATATGCCAAGGTACCATATTATGTAGAATCCTCTCAGGAATCAGTTATTTCACCCTCTGTATTAGTTTAAATGCACACCACCTTCCAGACGCCTTAAATTCATTTTGGAAGACAGTATATAATGCACACCCCAGCTACAATTTGAAGATGAAAATACAGTGACTGCATATTCCAACTGCAAGTGCCAAAGTATGAGATAAACAGAACATTCCCACGTACTGCTGAGCGGTGAGATGTGTGCACCTCCTGGGAATTGTGGTCTTTGTGGTATCTACCAAGGAGAGGACACTGCTGAAACAATTACCTCATTTCTGAAAAATGGAGCTGAGCAAGGAGAAGAGTCCAGTCTGGGGCTTCTGCCTCCTTCTCTTACCGAAAATACATCACCTCAAAGCAGACACAGAGTAGGTCAAGCAGGGGATAAGGAGTAAGCCAGGGCCAGGAATGCAGTTCTGAATTCCATTAGTAGGAAAAAGGAGTCAGAGCTGTTTTAAAATGGTAGGTGGAGATGGAGAATTTATTCCATAAATTATTCTAGGTTCTTGGGGGGCCTACTGCTCATTTTCTAGGGTCTTTTTTGTTATTCTAATCTTTCCTTATGTTTTCAGTGCCAACACAGTGCAACAGGGCCAAGAGTATGAAAGGTTCAGTGAGTGCACTGAGCTTCCATAGAAGAATTTGCATCTTGGTGTCTGGAACACACTTCAGGTATTTTGCACATTGGTTCCTGAAGCCTGAGTGTGCAACTTTGCCCCTGTCCTTCATCTGGTTATGGTTTTCTTTGTTTGTTCAGAACATTTGCCTAGGATGCAAGCTCTAGTCCCACCACCCTCTAACACTGCTAAATGAAAGTTTAAGGGAAAAGGTGTACAACACCCTCTTCTGGCATAGCTGTGCAAATAAAACATTTCAGGCCACCAGTATAACCTCTTCAAGGGCATTTCTTTTACAAAATTCCAATTTCCATGCTCCCTTCATTCTGAGCAATTCTCCAAATGGTTTCCATCTCAAATGAAGCTGCATGGTGCAGCTATATTATTCTCAACAAAGGAAATGCTCCCTTAATGCTCATAGTCTGAAAGATTAGATTAGAAACTGGAGGCTCAAAGAGGGGTGTAGATTTTCTTCTGTGTCCTTTAATATGAATCTCCATACAAATCCATCAATGTGAAGGGTTCCAAGATAAAGTTAAGATGTTTGGGGAGAAAAATGATGGATCAGATTGTGCTTTTCAAATCCCATGTGATATTCTGATTCATTTCACAAGTCAAAGGAGAAGCAAAGTACATAACAAATATCCACCCAAGGCTAAATATAACCATCTTTCTTAATGTGGAATTTTACGAGGACACCTAACATAAGTAAGCTATGTTTTATGGAATCTAAAATATCACTTTTTCATTCTTGAATTATTTTTCCTCTACTTCTTCCAGAAACTAACATGAGAAATGTGACCTTGTATTATAAACTGTCTGGGGATCTTAAGTATACATTAGCCTGAACCTAATGGTGAGTGTAGCCCAAAATCTCTCTCTGCTATCCACTTATTGTAATATTAGTGCAGCATACAGTCCCTGAAACGATTCTATCCTGGTGCTATCTGGAACTTTTTCATCTGTCTACATAAATATTAATTATCTTGGTGCAGATACAACTAATTATTTCCCAGTTCCATCAAGATTTTAAACACCTTTCTCCTCAACCCACTGTTTCTAATTTGATGTAATATAGCCAGGTTGTTGTGATTTATGGCCTTTCAGAGGAGACTCAGACTGTAACAACACAGGTTACCTCACAGTCATAAATGAAATGGGAAACCATCAGGCTTTTTTTAAAGCCTTAAAAGCCCTTTCCTCTGTCCTTTCTTTTTCATCAACCTTCTAAAAGACAGGCAAATATGTCTCACACATCCAGTGGCTGCAAAAATTCTTCCTGGGCATTTAACAATATATAAATCAGTGGTAACTAAGTTTGTAGGAGGCTCTCTCAGTGATAAGGCCCAGCACTATTAGTTACACTTCTGGCTCTCTGTAGTTCTTGCTGCACTACCACACCAGTTGGACTGAAATTTACTTGTAGCACCCTGGGAAAATAACGAGGGAAATTCAGATCACTCATGCTTGAGAGATTAATCATGTTAATGTGTTTCATTAGTTGCTGGAAGTATGACCTGGGTAATTCCAGGGCTTTGGAGTAGTTACTCTGTCTTTAAATGGACTATACTTTCTCAGCTGTTCTTGGAGGGAGAGAGAGAGAGAGTTAGTGCAGAAAAATTCAAGCTATTAGAGAGGAAGGGGGAAGAGAAAGAGCCATTTGGACTGAATAAATGATGGATGCATTTTTCTGTTTGCCTTATGAAACGTTGAACAAAGAGGTGAAATCCTCAACAGCAAGTATAAAGAAAGAGAACCTGTAAATACACAAATCCAGAGCAAAATGGGGAACTTATGCCAAAGCCTGGACGAATGGGCTGCCTCTTGCTACATATCTGGGCAGCTATTGCATCCTGATCTCAATTGGGACCTCTAGAGGCTACTGTAATACAAAACAAACAACTGAAAATTTACCCCACCTCACTCAAATCAGAGATTAATTTGAATATTAGTCTTCATTCACTGCCTTAATATGTCATATGGTGGAAAACATTGAATTTTTTTGATATTAGAATAATCTATCTTTTCTATCTTTCTAGCAGAACCACATAGTTAAAAGCTTTGTTTAGACATGGTTAGCCATTGTTCTGCTAAAGCTATCAGCTAAAGTGGGCTGTAATACTTTTGTCTAATTTTGGTTGTTGGGTTTAGTGTGCGCGTCTGAGTGGTGTTGGTGGCCTGTGACATACAGGAGGTCAGCCTAGCTGATAGAATGGCTCTCTGACTCTATGCTTTCACATGGCCAATCATGTGACAATGACATTGGTTTACTATGGCCAAGTTTCTATCAATGGCAACGAATGGAAATGTTTACCTGGAGTGTCATTTTTCAATGAAGATTATTCATTGTATGATTGAAAAGCACAAACAACCTTTGTCTGCAATCATGATAAAACACAGGGAAATCATCAATCCATATTACTGTCATTGACGTAAGCTGAAAAACACTGCACTGAATTTCATGAAGACTTGAAACACACCAGGTGATTTAGGGCAGTGTTTCTCAGTGACCAATCCATGGACTGGCGGCAGTTCCTGAGATCTCCCGGCCACAGTTTAAGAAGGCAATAAACTGATCCCCGATATCAAAAAGGTTGAGAAACACTGGCTTCAGGCGTGTCTATATGGGGGAAAGCCCACAGTACCTGGCGCACAGTAACTCCCCATGTGGACACTCGTACTGTGCATTAAGAGTGCTTTGTGTGCCTGAACTTATAGCATTTTGAAAGTATATGAAACTACATGGAGAGCTGGTATGGAATAGCTAGTGCACTTTACTTGCACACCCTAGCTCACTGTGCACTAACTTCTCCTTGTAGACAAGCCCTTAGCTTCCAGTCATCTACGAAGTGATACTGTAGCCTATTTAACCCCTTCCTTTCTTTCTCTCCGTGAATGTACGGGTTCGTGCTTGTCAAAAGCAGGCTCTGTTTTTCAAGGGCTTGGCAGGGAGGTAGTTGAATACATGAGGAGGACATGAGACTTGGGCCAAATGGCAATCTGAGCCTGTGAAGTGCAGTGTATAAATCTTCTCTTAGCTAATTAAGATAAGCATTTGAGGTAAGATTTCCACTACTATTGAGGAGAAGCCCCTTGGGGAAAAACCACCAATGAGAGAGCATTCTTTGAAACCAATGCAGGACAAAAATCAATTTTCAAACCCTGTCCCCTTTCTGTGCCTCTAATGTAGGCACACAAATGCAAATGTATGCGGGGACCCCATTAGAGTTGAGAACTTAACTGTGTCTCTGAACTATGCTAAAGCCTTGGACAGTCCATGACTGTACCACAAAATGGAACTGTGTTTGCAGCCAGGCCCCGTCACATAGTTGTACTGATGGGGCAAACAGGCCCTAAATTCCAACCCAGGTAGAACTGTCCTGTTCTGTACACTCTCCCTGAAGCTCAGGTATGGGCCACTGATGGAGACAGGATACTGGGCCTGATGGACCACACTCTGACTCAGTATAGATAGCAGCTCTGATGTTCTTAGCATATGAAAAGAGAGGAAACCTCTGGGAAGCATTACAATGCAGTGTATGCTTGAGACAATCTGTTGGTGTTTTGCTCCAAAAAAATCAAAGTCACAATGAGATACATGAGCAGCCACTCATACTATTACATTCATCTTAAAGGCATGGGACATACTTACTACTCTTGTGAGAAACACATGTTTATAAATGATCTCACGGTCCACCAGATGTCACTATTGCTCCAGACAAATACAGCTGACAAAGCATTCAACTGGTGGTGAAAAAAGTGAATCATAACATAGGAAACTTGTAAAATTCCAGAAAGTCTAATTTTAAAAATAATCTTGTTTTAAGTCTGCTAAAACCATTTTCTCCACTTTTTTGCCTTTTCTGCTGACTAGAAGCACTACAGAACTTTACCTATTTCAAACTCAGCAGCACTTTGCTTACATTACCTGCAAATTCATAACCTCTTTAGTTTTCTATTTTTTTTCAAATGGATGACTTTACAGTGAGAAAAATCACAAGGAAGATATACTTTACTCCTTCCACTTCTGTGTAAGCAAGTATTTTACCTACCCACGGGTACAATTCGGATGACAGAGCTGACACACTGAGTTTTCATCTGCGTATTTCCAGACTAAGGTATCATTTTCACCCAAAACTCCAGCAGGGCAGGATTTAACACAGTGAGGGCCATCTATATAATGGGCACACTTTATGCAGTTGTCCGGACCCTGGATAAAGAGCAAGAAATTGTCTGTAATAGATTTGCCCAAGTCATATGTTGGCATATGCAAGAAGAGACTCTCCGAAGATAAATAAATGCATGTTTGATCATTTGAAATTCTAAACATGATTCAATGTTTTATCCTAGTTTATCTTATTATTGTACTACATAAAATGCTTGCAAAGTTTTAATCCTCTTGTATAATATGCTGTGTGAGATACAGCACCTGATGTTCAATTAAATAACTCTCTCTCTGGGTATCAATGCTGATGTATGATTCCTATTATTCTGTAATTTTCCTATTTTATGTCCTAATAAAAACTTACATTTTTGGTTTAATACTGTGAATAAAGATGCTTTGATAGCAAATAAGTTTAAAATCAAAGGGCCTGATTCTCATTTAATGTAAACCACCATTGCTCTATTGAAATCAGTGGAGCTCTACCAATTTATACCAGATGAGGATCTAGGTCATAAAGCTTTTTCATTCTTTGTATAATCTAAAGCAGTGGTTCTTAAAGCCAGTCCGCCGCTTGTTCAGGGAAAGCCCCTGGCGGGCTGGACCGGTTTGTTTACCTGCCGCGTCCGCAGGTTCGGCCTATCGTGGCTCCTACTGGCTGCGGTTCGCCGCTCCAGGCCAATGGGGGCTACGGGAAGGGCAGCCAGCATGTCCCTTGGCCCGCGCCGCTTCCTGCAGCCCCCATTGGCCTGGAGCGGCGAAACGCGGCCAATGGGAGCCCCGATCGGCCGGACCTGCGGACGCGGAAGGTAAACAAACCAGTCCGGCCCGCCAAGGGCTTTCCCTGAACAAGCGGTGGACTGGCTTTGAGAACCACTGATCTAAGGGTATGTCTACACTATGAAATTAGGTCGATTTTATAGAAGTCGATTTTTAGAATTGGATTTTATACAGTCGATTGCGTATGTCCACACTAAGCGCATTAAGTCGGCGGAGTACGTCCTCACTACCATGGCTAGCATTGACTTATGGAGCGGTGCACTGTGGGTAGCTATCCCACAGTTCCCACAGTCTCTGCCACCCATTGGAATTCTGGGTTAAGCTCCCAATGCCTGATGGGGCAAAAATATTGTTGCGAGTGGTTTTGGGTACATGTCGTCAGTCGCCCCTCCCTCTGTGAAAGCAACGGCAGACAATCATTTCGCGCCTTTTTTCCTGGGTTACCCATGCAGATGCCATGGCTAGCATGGAGCCCGCTCAGTTCACCATTACCACTGCTGTTGTGGGCAAGTCTACTGTGGGTGCTGCTGTGATCCAGGTAGCCAATGCAATCATTGACGTTCCGTTATCAAGGGTAGTGACTCTGGGAAATGTGTGGGCCTTTTTAGATTTTAGGTGCATCATATTCCTGTCCTTTGTCACTGGTGAAGAAGTCTTACGGCCTTACATTCAAGTCCGGTTGGCGCTGTAACACCCCATAGCACTTCTGTGGTTGACACATGTAACAGCTCCAGGACTCTTGCTCTTTTGCCTTGGCTGAGGTACCTTGCCCTACCAGGACCTCCAAGCACTCGACACGGAAGCACCTGCAGCAGCTCCTGGGTGCCTTCACAGCAGATGGTGCAGTAGGACTGCTAGCCGTCCTCGTACATGGTGTACGGCTCCACCGCTTCCGCTGAAACTCTGCTCTCCTGCAACTCTGCAGCAGGCAGTGCAGTAGGACTGGTAGCCATCCTCGTCGGACATGTAGCTTGGCCAGGGGTTCTGGGAATGTCTTTCCTGCCCGGCTCCTACAACCTCCAGGGCATGGTGTATGGCTCCACTACTTCTGCTGCAACTCTGCTCTCCTGCGAGCTGGAGGCTTCTGCCTCAGGCTGCTCTCCCAGCCGGCAGCACCACGCAGTCGCACCTACCCCAGCCTACCCCTGGCTCCCATGGCTCATGAAGCCTGGACAGTAGTAAGGAGCAGTTCAACTATAGGCTGAGCAAGTGCAGAATGGTGGTAGAATGTGCCTTTGGAGGTTTAAAAGCGCACTGGCGCTGTTGGTCAGACCTCCGTGCAACCAACATTCCCATTGTTATTGCTGCTTGCTGTGTGCTCCATAATATCTGTGAGAGTAGGGGGGAGACGTTTATGGTGGGGTGGGAGATTGAGGCAAATCGCCTGGCGTCCGATTTTGAGCAGCCAGACACCAGAGCGATTAGAAGAGCACAGCAAGGCGCGCTGCGCATCAGAGAGGCTTTGAAAACCAGTTTCATGACGGGCCAGGCTATGGTGTGACAGTTGTGTGTGTTCCTCCTTGATGCATACCTGCCTCCTTTATTGATTTTAATTCCCTGTAAGCAAACCACCCTCCCCGCTTCGAAATAAAGTAACTATTGTTTTGAAACCATGCATTCTTTCTTTATAAATTTAAAAAAAAATGTGATAACGGACAAGGTAGCCCAGGTGTTGTGGGGGAGGAGGGAAGGACAAGGCCACATTGCTTATTGTAGCCACACTAAAAATCAAACTGTTTGAATGCCAGCCTTCTGTTGCTGGGGCCATCCTCTGGAGTGGAATGGCTGGGTGCTCGGAGCCTCCCCTTGCTTTCTTGGGCATCTGGGTGAGGAGGCTATGGAACATGGGGAGGAAGGTAGGCGGTTATACAGTGGATGCAGTGGGGGTCTGTGCTCTTGTTGGCTTTCCTGCAGCTCCAACAGACGCTTCATCATGTCTTTTTGCTTCCCCATTAGCCTCAGCATCACGTCCTGCCTCCGCTCTTCACGCTCACTTAATTCTTTCCTGGCCTCTGCCACTGAATGCCTCCATGCATTAAGCTGTGCCCTATCAGTGCGGGAGGACTGCATGAGCTCAGAAAACATGTCATTGCAAGTGTGGTTTTTTTACCTTCTAATCTGCAATAACCTCAGGGATGGAGATGATAGGGGGAGCGTAGAAACATTCTACGCTCTACGATTCGGGGGGGACTGCATGGTCACCTGTGCTGCGGAGTTCACTACGCTGACCAAACAGGAAATGAAATTCAAAAGTTCCCAGGGCTTTTCCTGTGTACCTGGCTAGTGCATCGGCGTTCAAAGTGCTGTCCAGAGCGGTCACAATGGAGCACTCTGGGATAGCTCCCGGAGGCCAATACTGTCAATTTGCGTCCGCACTACCCCAAATTTGACCCAGCAAAGTCGATTTTAGTGCTACTCCCCTCGATGGGGAGGAGTACAGAAGTCACTATTAAGAGCCCTTTCGGTCGACAGAACGGGGTTGGTTGTATGGACGCAGTCATTTTTAAATTGACCAAACGTGGCTAAATTCGATCTACCCCTGTAGTGTAGACCAAGGCTAAGAAAACATTTCTTTCTTCCACTCTGAAGCAGAAAGGGAAACTGGGTTAAAATAGAAAAGCCCATCAAATTTCCTATCTGAAGTGCTTTTAGCTAAAGTTTACATGAATTTTCTGAAATGTTGTTGTTTTTACTGAGATTGTGGCAGGATCCAAAATGATCTGGGTACTCTCTAAACAGAGTAACAAGTAGTCCCAGGTAAAATTGCCTTTTCAGAAAGAAAAGCTGCAAGTGTTGCGTTCATGACAATCAGAAGAAAGGCTGTTGTATGTCAGCAGAATATAACTTTTTAGTTTTATGATGCCAGTAAGCAATTAATCACAAACACGAAGAGACTATTCTAACTTTAAAAGAGAAGCTTCCTTGATGGCCTAGTTCATTGCTAGACAGGAGCCCCAGGTATGCTCCAGAAAGTAGTAGACTAGATCCCTAGCACCGACTGCAGTGGAGCAACGTGGATGTATTTATGTATTATTTGTAGTGTCTAGCAGCCCCACTCATGGACCGGGGCTCTACTGTACGACCTGCTGTATGAACAAGCAACAGGATGATGGCCCCTACCCAGCAGCTGTGCATCTGGCCCAAGGTTCTAAGTCAGGGGTTCGGAACCTTTTTCTTTCTGAGGTGCCCCCAACAGGCTACAAAAACTCCATGGCCCAGCTGTGCCACAACAACTGGTTTTCTGAATATAAAAACCAGGGCTGGCGTTAGGGGGTAGCCAGCTAGCCAATGGCCCCATGCCACAGCTTCAGATTTCTGCCATCAGTTCCAGCAAGTTTAATACTGGCCTTGCTTGGCAGACCGCCTGAAACCTGCTCGTGAACCCGGGAGCTGAGGGCACCCGGTTGAGAGCTACAGTTCTAAGCCATAACGGAATGAAGCAAGTGCCCTGCATTATTGAACAGTGACTTTCTGCCAGATGAAGGATGGACAGTCATCCTGTGTCAGGATAGTGGCTGCAACAGAGGGTTCAGGGGGTTTCCAAGAGTGGGGCTGTAAGGTGCAGGGTAGGAAGCCAACTGGATCCTTGACACTTTGTCAGGGAATAGAAAATTCCCGCCCACCCCTTCACTAAAAAAAGATATTATTGAGCTAATGGCTTCACTGGAACTGAAATATCCTGCAAAGTAAAACTAAGGGACTAAATTGAACCCTGAATGTAAAGAAGTACAACTCTCCATTGACTCTTACCCTCAAGGCTGAATTTGGTACAACGTGTAAAAAGAAAGATGGGAGTCTATTTTCCATTCGGGCCAAGCTATAGATTTCATAAAATAACAGAGTATTTTAAAAATCTGAGAAGGATAAAACTGAGGAGGATTTTGCCATTGGATATTGGGAAAGACCAAGGTATTTTAACTTTTATAAAAGGGGCCTTTATATAAACTCAGAAAGTTCCAGTAACTTTGGAAAAGTTGACTATCGTTTTTACAAACATCTAATACTTTGCACTTACATTAACAGAGATGCATTACTTTTAATTGTTTTGGGCTATAGAGTTTGGTTTTAAATAAAAACTGCTTTCTTAATATTTTCCAACAAACATCTGCTGTTGATTAAAATCTGATTTTCGTGTTCAGAGGCAAAAAGTTACTGAATTAATTCACTATTAGCTATAGTTGCCTCAGATCAGCAAAAATTAGCCTCCATTTTGGGAAGTGTCATAATTTATGATGATTTGGTTGTTCAATATCTAAGTATTTTGATATGTTCACCATGTTACAGGGTCTCTACATGTACAAGTTTGTTAGGTCAAATCTGCTCTTACAGGTCCTCTGCAGGTTGCATTGTACACAGTTGAATTTTGCACCAGGCATTCTGGGTGACACTGAAGGCATTCAGATTTTCTTTCAAATTCTCTTGGCTCCCTGAAAAATAAAAAAAGGAATAGAAAGAATACTTGACAAGATGTCAACTTCAAATTTACATTTCAGACCTTCCACTACTTTTCCAGTTTGCCTATATTAGGATGAGTATAATGAGATGGGAGGAGATGTAGGAAGAAATTCTTGACTAGTCCTAGCACATCAATATAACTTGCTGAACATAAAACAGGAAAAAGGTAAGAGTGAGGAAAATTTGGCTGACAGTGCCACACAGGGCAATCCAGATTGTAAACTACAAATTAGTCTTTCTATTTTAATGAAGATGAATATTCTCAAAAATCTCCAAAACATTTTTCTATCACTACTGATCAGCAAAAATATTTCTAGTGATTCTGAGCCACTAAACAACAACTTGGGAAATTAAACAAATTAGCTGATAATTAGATTCTTGCCCTCCCTATAACACACAATGAATCATTAAAATATGAACGCTGAGAACAGATGGTTTTGATAGCAATAAAGCTGTTCCACTTCAAGTAATTGTGTTATTAATTAAACCAAATCTACCCATCATTTGACACAAAATGCCCAGATCTGCCCTGTAGGCCATAATATCTGCTGGAGGGAATTCTCTTGAAAAGACAACAGCTGCTGAATTGGAAATTGCTAGACAAATATAAACATTATGGACTCCAGCATTCCGTAAAATTCGTGTCATAATATTAATTATTTTTTAAAAGTTAAACAGACTTTAAAGAATTAGTAAAAAGGAAATAGGAAAAATATGTCCATTGGTAGTTCTATGGATAAGTAAACATTTTGTGCTCTGTAAACACAGTGTATTCAAAATCCTTCAGTTTTGGGATCAACGTAACTCATGTTAGCTGTTTAACATATATATTACAGGTTTAAACAACTCTGAGAATGCTCCTTTTCAAGACCCAGGGAATCTTATAAATGTTGCTAAACATAAGCCAACCTGATGGGATTATTTTGCCTGAAATTATTGGTCCTGGTGTGCTGTGGCCAGTGTATTTAGGTTCATCATGCCTTCACTGCAGCTCAGCAATAAAAGGGAGTAAAAATTGTAAGGACAAACTATTGAATTGGACCAGGCTCCCAATAATTTAGATGGGAGCCTGGGAATCTGAGGGCAGAGTTTGACCTTAAAATGTTTAGGCCACAATCCAGCAAAATAACTGCAGCATGTGCATAAATTTAACCCCATTGAGTTGCCCCATTGAAGTAAATTAGGCTAATCAATGGGTGAAATCCTGGTCCCAGTGAAGTCAGTATCAAAATCCCGTTGGTTACAATAGGGTGAAGATTTCACCTAATATGCTTAAAGGCTGAGATTTTCAAAAGAGCCCAAGGGAGGTAGGCCGCTTGATTTTCAATGGTAGTTGGGTGCTTAGTTCCCTTAAGCCCCTTTGAAATTTCAGTCTTCTCCCAGTAGGTCTTAGGGGAGTTATCCATGTACACCCCCAACTGATGTTGGAGGAACAGACTGCTAAGTATTCTTAGACAGAGAAGGGTATTTCTTCCCCCTTTTCTGTATTTAGGTACCACACAAACCAACATTTTTGCAAAAGTATCAATTTTTGTTACTATTAGAATTCCTGGTTTTTATTTTCCCCTAGTAATGTTAATATTTTTCTTCCTATGCTAATCCTCCCCCAGCTCCAGCCTCCCCCCCCCCAAAAAAAAACCCCCTTCTTACCCTTGCATAACATTGCATTTTTTCACACATTCCCTTTGGCGACTGAAATGATGACAGGAAAAGCAATGGAATGGCCCTGGACCCCAGCAGCCTACTTCTGAGCACAAGGGGTCACAAACGTGTTCCTCAGCGGCTGAGAGAAACAGAGACAAAGACAAACAATAGCCAGGAATTTCAGAGAGAGTAATTAGAGCACCACAAATGACTCATTTTTGAGAGCCAGTTTTTCCAAATTAACCCAGAGTAGATCTGAAGGATCCTGACAGCATTACAGAGCAGGAGGAGAAACATACATGCTTTTCTCTAGTTTCCAAAGCTTGAAATTAAATGGGACTTTTAGTTTTGCCATATAAAAACACATGCTCCTCTGTAGCGATTTATTAATCGGATACAGATTATTCTGTTGTAAAGAAATCTACTCCTAAAATGGACATTAACATAAAACAAATCAATATGCTGCAGACAGACACAATAAGGGCCTGATACAACGTCCACGGAAATCAATGGGAAGCTCAAATTGGGCCCTGACTGAATGGGTCAAACGTCTGAATGGAGTTGGAACTTTCACCCTTGTCCTTCAGCTCCAAAACCGGAAGCCTCTACTAGCTGCGCCATAGCAAAGCAGATCTTGCCTAGCTGTCAGTCATTGTTAATCCTTTATCCTCTGTGTAGGCCAGCTGCTAGAGCACAACATCATGCAAATGCAAACACACACACACACACCCCCTACAGTGCAAGTGAATGTGTTCAGAGGAGAACACCTGACTCCAGAGTTTTATCTTTTTATATTGCTCCCCATTTGGCATGTATAAATTGAGCCTCTGCCTATGTGTGAGTGGGAAGGGTAGTTTGGACCAAAACTAGGTTCTGCATGGCTAATGCTTCAAAATTTTGGGCTCATGAATCTCAGTGAGGCTTTGAGGGTGCTGAGTTGGGGCAGCCTAAGGAAGCAATTTAGTCTATAGTCTCAAGGGTAAACCCCCTCCCTCCCCCCAGGTTGACGTTAGTACAGCATCATCCACAGCCTTTGACAGGCAACAAGTTAAATTTTGGGTCTGACCTTCCTTGCCTCTGCCATGCAAGTGGACAGAAATTGCAACTAACACTCCAGGAGGTCACCATTGAAGCAGACATTCACATCAGCTGCAACACACATGCCTTACTATATTCACAGCATCATACCCATATGCATTCTCAATCACCTCAGGTGAAATCCTGGTCCCATTAGAGTCAGTGGCAAAGCTCTCATTCACTTCAGTGGAGCCAGAATTTCCCCCCTGCCTTCCACAACAAACTCTCTTTCAGTTTCACTATATAACCAAACACAATGAAGACATCCACTTCCTCAGAATCACATTCAAATGCACCACCTCAACTCTTACCTCCCACTTTCTCCTTGAGAAACACCACATTACTGGGGGAGGGATAGCTCAGTGGTTTGAGCATTGGTCTGCTAAACCCACGGTTGTGAGTTCAATCCTTGAGGGGGCCATTTGGGATCTGGGGCAAAAATTGGGGATTGGCCCTGCTTTGAGCAGGGGGTTGGACTAGATGACCTCCTGAGGTCCTTTCCAACCCTGGGATTTTATGATGATTCATTATGAGCTTTGCCACTACACGCAGGTCACTTATCTCAATCTGAGGGTGGAGTTAAGACTGAGTGTTTGAGGAGGATTGTGAGGGACTGGGAGTTGTACTTGGTTATATGTTGGCATTGATGGGAGCAGGCTATGGAGCAGAGGAGTGCTTGGTTATTGTTGTGTTTGGTTGGCAAGACATGTGAATTGAGGTTGAGGGGGATGTGACTATCAGTTTAACTGATGCCTGGAATTTTAGTAATTGTGTTGATAGAAAAGGAGGGTTGAACATCATCAATTGCAGCTTAATAAAGATTTTTGTTTGTGGTAATATACAAGGAGGAAGAAAGGTTTGCTTAAATTACTGGTCACAATCTCTTTTTCTGCACCCCGCAATGGCATTCCAAGAGGGACAAACGGACGGTATTAACTTACTGCATTCATCTTTATTTCTGTTGGATACGATTTTTGTTTTCTGAGTTTCTGTCACAAAGAGTTTATTCCAGTTCATTGTCTCAGCATAGCAGAGGTTCTGGTTTTTCATAATGGCGACATCACCATCACTTATTTCCTTGAGGGAGCGCAATCCCAGAGAGTGTATCTTTAGGTTAACAATGGCAAGAGAATACTGACCACTAAAATGGTGTGGGGCAAAAAGAACAGATGGAAACGGATTACTGAGTACATTTTCTTTTTGAATTTCAAAGACCCATCTGGGTTACTGTACACTGAATGTTTTACAAGGAAATATACTGCTTGGTCCACCAAACTTAATTTGTGTGACATTACAGATGTTTTTATGACATATCTATTGTAAAGGTACTATATTCACATCTGATTTTCTGTAGGGACTGAAAGTTAAGTCCTCTGACACACTGCATCGTGTATGCACTAATACGATATGGAGGTAAAGCTAAAGTTATTATTTTTCACTTGAGTCTGCCATACTACTCAGCATGTTAGTTTAGCACCAAGTACAATGGGGCTTTGATTCATATTAGGACTTTTGGGCACTGCTGTAATTCATTAGTTATATCACAGTTGTGCCTAAAGGTACCAATTGAGATCAGGGCCCTATTGTGTTAGGCACTGTACATGCATTGAATAAGAGAAAAATCGCTGTACCAAAGAGCTAACAATCTACATAAAAGATGGACAAGGAGTGGAAGCAATGAAATATTGGGATTGTCTACATGGTGGGGCAATGTGCTCTCTGGGGCTGTGATTTCTAAAGCCCACTAACGTGTTGAGCATTAATTGGTCCATATAGACCCTGCTGATGCGCACTACTGTTTCAGATAGTACTATGTTAAAGCGTACTAGGAAACCTTTAGCCTGTATCAGCAGGGTCTACCCAGACCAATTAATGTGCAGTTCATTAGTGAGCTTTTGACATCACAGTCCTGTAGAGTGTATTGCCCCAGCGTATAGACAAGCCCATATTATCACCATTTTACAGCTATGGAACTGAAGCCCAAAGGCCCAGATTTTTGGAGTATTTAGGCATTGCTCTGCTCAGTGTTACAGGCCTTACTGACTTAGGAGCCTAAATCTAGTTTTCAAAAAGTGACTTAGGCTCCTAAGTCAGGTAGGTGTTGCAATGTTGAGCAGAGCAACACCCAGATATCTTTAAAAATCTTAGCCAGAGAGATTTTGTGACTTGAGCAAGATCACAGAGGAAGACTGCCTCAGAACCAATAATTGAAGCCATATCTCCCAGGGTCCATTCCGGCACTCTAATCCCAAATCCATCTTTCCTTTCAGATATAAATAGGGACAATGTCTTGACAGTCACTTGGACACATAGGACCAAACTGGTATAAAACGGATATAAAATGGTGCAGTTCCATTGACTTCAATAGGACTACACAAATTTATACCATCAGAGAATTTGGCCCAAGTTTTGCAAAACCTTTTATTATTTAGAGAAACCTGGCTGTAAACACAGTTTATCTCACCCTCATTCTGGCACATGGGTTACTTACTGTTGCTTTGTTCTGCCTCGTATAATCTCCAGATTTTCAAAAGCATAGAGATCTGTGGCATTTTCAGGCCAGGCTTGAATCAACAAAAATCCTGAAACAGGAAAAAAAACAAAACCCCCAAAACCTCAGCAGCTTGAAAATAGGATTTTTATTGTGAATTCCTGTTGAGCTGGGGAAGGCACTTTTATCTTCTTCACATCTTTATGGGACTTGCAAAATGAAAGAATTACATTTTAGGGAGTCTGCAGATATTTTTAATGCTGCTTTGTAAACAGTTTACTTTCAGGTCACCAAGAGGGCTTAACATTGTACAAGTCTAGTGTGTTATTGAGCTGTACATCCTGCAGCACTTAAGAGCAGAAACTCCTGTGGTCTCTCATCAGGAAATGCTGCAGTAAGTGTCCCTGGATTTCACTGAAACATGAGGACATCACTGGAGCTTTCTAGTAGTGGAAGCATTTAGGAAATGGGAAAAAAAATGAGTGGGGAAAAGCACAGCAGAGTTTAACTGCTAAAGACATCGATTTTCCTGCTTGGACATTCAATGGGGAAAGAATTTGGGGAACAGTATTATATAAAAGTTTTCTAAATGTAGTGACAATTACACTTAAAGTAACTGGACATGTTTAAAATGAGAGAAAAAAGGGGAGACCATGGGTCTAATTCAGATTTTACACTGCTTTTACAATGGTGTGAAGTCCTTGGACTTCACCAGAAGTACTCTGTTTTTGTTGGTGTGAGATCAAAATCAGGCCCAGGCGACTCAGTGCATGCATGGATCCAAGGAAAAGGCATTCAGATTCGTGACTCTCATTGGTGCGATGGAAGCAATGGAGTACAATTTCCCAAAGAACCTTTGAAAAGTTTTCCACCAATAGAAATACAGCCATTATTTCAGGGTGGGTTAGCAGTGAGCGCCATTTCCTGTGCATCTGCTTCATCATACTTCTTGGGTATCTGAAAGTGTTCTGGTTTTGCTCTTTAATATGTCTGACAATTCAGCAGAAGGAATGGGTTGGTAAAACCATACACCTTACACCAGATTCTGATCTGAGTTACATGGGTGTAAATCCAGAGTGACTCCACTGACTGCAGGTGAAAGGTGTTACTCTGGATTTATAGTGGCACTAACTCAGATGATTTAGTTTGTTGTGTCTTTCTTAACAAAAACTGTTTTTATTCCTTTTCCCATCTTTGTTTGTGTTTTCTGGGACTACAAGATCAGACAAAATTTTAAGCCAAACATATCGCTACCTGATATTTCTTTTACGGTTTTGAAGATATCCAGTTTCTTTGGGTCCAGTGGTTGTGTTTTGGTGAAGAGATCACTAAAAATCAAAACAGATCATGCAATTTGAAAAAGAACACATTAACTTTAATGGCTGCTTCTGGTAAAAGACCAACTGTGACCCCTTTTCCTCAACCACATACGAATCAGCTGATGACTTACCCTAGAAATGCTACTGGCAGAATGCTGACATCCCCGTTGATCTTGGTACAATTTTTGAAAGAGTCAATGTTTGTAGCATTTATGGAGAGAATCCCTTTCAGTTCACCTATTCCAATCCCATTGCAGACTGTTAAAATGAAAGCACAAAAGCTGCAGGTTTCTTAGGTATTTTAGGAATTAATGCATTTAAGAAAATAAATATCAATGTAACATTCTGGATAGAGTCTATTGTAGCAGTTTTATCTCTAGATCTGTAGCTATAAAATTAATTACAGAAATACCCAAGGTGTGAAAGCTGGCAAGACCTGGTAATAATTTGAGAAAACAGGAGTACACAGGCATTATGGAACTTACACAACAAGGCCCCTTTACACTGCTCTGGTCTTGTAGGTTTAATAATTCAAAAAATAAAATAAATAAATAAATCAGTATTAAGGCCAAAACCAGAGGGGAGAGAAATTAACAGTTATAAGAAAGGGTGATTGTTTGTTTTCAGGTGAGTTTTTTTAAAACGGGTCAGAGGGCCAGATTCTCATCTCACTTATACTACTTTCCCATCAGGATATTTCCTGTGGTTTTAATGGAGTTTCTCCTCATTTACACTGGTGAGAGAGGAGAATCAGGTCCACAGAGTGAATGAAGGGGAGAGATACACGGCACTGGCTGCAGATGTAAAAGCCTTTTGCACCAAGTGGCAGGATTGGGGAAGAGACAGAGAAGATGAGCTGGGAGGAGAGAGACACATAAGATCTACGAGATAGACAGTAGCAAGTGTACTAAGAGGAGCGGGAACTGGATGGGGAACCAATAGGGTTGTGTAAAGATGGGGAGAATGTAGATGTGCTGCTTGGTAGGAGAGGGTAGGCAGCGACATTCTGTACATGATGGGCCTCAACAACTAGGATTTGTGGAGGCTATAGAGCTTGGACTCTTAATAGTCAAGGTGAGAAGAGATGCAAGCACACATGCATATCTTCAGCAGAAGGAAAGTCAAGGCTGTGATGTGAATTACTAATATTGCCTTAAAAGCACATAGAAGATCTGGACGTCATCCTAATAAACGCTGCACAAACCACAAAGCAGTCTGAACTAAGGAGTGATGGTGGTGGTGGTGAACAGACATTTATAATGATAAATATGATGTTGCAGTTGCTGGACATGCTCCTTGCAACACTAGGATATGAGTAGGGCTCCAAGTTCTACTCAAGTGCAAGAGGTTTAGGCAATAGACACTGCCATACTGGATCAGACCCACAGTCCATCTAGTCTACCATCCTCTCTCTGACGGGGGCAAGTGCCAGATGCTTCAGAAGAAGGTACAAGAACTTTGCAATAGGCAGATGTGGGATAATCTGCTCCCAAGATAGGTCTCATCTTTGTTTATATATTCAATGTCCTTTCTGTGAAAATAATAATAATAAAAAATTATTGTATGGGGCCTCTTACACTTGACATAGCTTAGGGCTTCCAGAACGTCAGAATCCGGCCCTGCAAGTTTGTTCAGCCCAGGATCTAGTGTAAGCCCATAAAGGTGCATGCACACTTCTCCAAACACACCTGTTTTTGTGTTACTCCCAGGGCCGGATTCTGACATTCTGGAGGCCCTAAGCTATGTCAAGTGTAAGAGGCCCCATATAATAATTTTTTTTTATTATTATTTTCACAGAAAGGACATTGAATATATAAACATGAAAGCTTTATATTTGCATATATACAAAGGCGAAGCTGTAAAAATAGAATAATCTAACTGAATCACATCTTGCATTATGCCCGTTTGCATTACAAAATAGTTTCAAATTAATATATTTTGTCTATGATTTCTTAATTAGTAGATATGAAAACTTTATATCTACAGCAACATAAAAGCAGTTACACTTACACAGACCAGCTTACTTAATCGAAGCAGTATAACCTGCAGTATGTCTGTTTGCACATCACATTAATTTTAACACTGAAATTTAAAACATTTTCTTTCGTGATTTTTGGAGAGCAAACTCATTGATGATGTTCTCAAATGATAAGCTACGGAGTTTGTCACTTCCTATGCACAGACTGCTTAGGGCAGATAGCTTTTCTTGAAGCATTTACTAGGCAGACATCTCTCTTTGTGTTAGCTTCTCTATCCTCTGTCTCTCCCAAGACCATTAATTAATCTTGAGTAAACACCTCGGCCACACTGCTATATGTGAGAAAGAGAAAAAGAATTTACCAGAAAAAAGACTGGTAATCTCTAGACAGGCATTGAGAAAGTGAGAAAAGCTAGTCTATATTCAAACAAATATAATGAATATTATAGGCTTTAATAGCCTATAAATCATATGCATATAGTTTGAAATAACTTGCTCACCAAGTACTCAGAATATTTTGATATATATGTATATCTTCCTTCCTCTCAAAACCCTCTATTTATCCTTTTGTCTGCACGCTGATATTTACTGTGAAGGTTCCTGAAACTGACGGAGGGAAGCCAACACAAATTTATCCTCCTCAAGATCCACTCAACCCAGGTCCACAAGACAATCACCGCAAACTCAATCATGTGAAACATGGATAGCGCATGAAGCAGAAAGCGGCGTGCGCACTAAAATATACAATTGTACGTATGTACAGATCAAAAGAAGAACGAACCCACTAACACTTAAGAAAAACAAGAGCGAAGGCACTATACGACTGAGCGTGCTGGACCGTAAACAAAAGATGGTGGCCTTCCGGCTATTACCAGCCAAGTTGGACGCTGTACATGACGTCACTCCTAGGATGAGACCCATACAAGTATGAGCTTGGTAGGATTGCTTCGTGACACTGCTGTCTCAGACCTCAAATTTTTCTTGATTTTATTACAGTGAGATTTATTTAAATATGAAGGCATGGTCAGAATTTTACCAGTAGCAGCTCGCCAACAAAGCGTTGCCTTAGGACGGGGTTCTCCACCTTTTTGTCTCTGAGGCACCTCTCAACATGCTCTAAAAACTCCAGGGCCCAGCGGGGGTGGGGGGCCTCAGGGAAGGGGCCTTGGGCATAGGCATAGTTTGACTTCTATTTCGGGGGAGCAGGGGTCAGCGGGGCTCAAGCCAGCTCTGCATGGCAGGGTCCAGGGAGGTATCACAACCTCCACCCCGACTCACCTCAGTTGGCCACCTAGCCTGTCTGGTTTGGGGAAGGGAGATGCAACCAAATTTATAACTCAAAGTTAGGGCTTAGCTCAAAAAGTTTGAAAACAGCTTAGGGTGCAGGGAGGGGGATAGCTGGGGCTGTGTACACACAGGGGGTGGCTGTGGGTGCAGGAGGGGGTGGCTAGGGGCTGTGTGCGGACAGGGGGTAGCTCAGGGTGCAGGGAGAGGGGTAGTTGGGGCTGTGTGCAGGCAGATGGGTAGCTCGGGGTGCAGGGAGGGTGTAGCTCAGGATGTAGGGAGAGGGGTATTAGGGACTGTGTGCTGGGAGGACGACCCTGCGGTCCCTGTTCCCGGAAGGGTCTGATAGCGACAGAGCCGGGTCTCCCCACCCCGGGGGCTCTTACGGCTGCCTCTGCGGGAGCAAAGGGGACCAGGAGCTGAGGAGCAGGTTGAAGCTGCTAAACTACTTGCTTAGGCCTCCATATTATTAGATATTTATATTGCAGTAGCACCCTGAGGCTCTAATTAGGATCAGGGTCCCATTTGGTTGGATGCTTTGTCGTCAAGTAAATTCTCCTCACACTAAAAATATTAATATCTTGCCGCACTTTCCGTACCTTTGCTACACACCCCGTCACATTTTTTACATTTCCGAACACCGTTTTCTTCCACTTCATAGGTATCGACATTACACGAGCGAACACAGGAGCCATGGTCTGTCACCACGTAGTTATCTGCAAAGACAGGAAGGGAAATGCAATATGGGCAATGAAACAAAGGAGAGATGCTTTGGGATTTGTATTTATGCTGTAAACAGGCATTTAACTGATCAAAAGTTAAAAGGTATTTCAGCATTTTGTAATAGAGAAGGGGTGAATTAAAACACACATTAGCGTACTTAGAAGTTGCTACGTTCAAAGCACTAACCAACCAAATTACAGACATTAACAAATTATCCCGGAGGGGTGGGGTGGATGACTATTATTATCATCATCATATTATTATTTGAGACAGTAAGTTGGCCTTTCTTAAAGCCAACTAGCGAATCAGTAGCATAATCAGGAATAGAGCTCAACACCTCCTGATTCCCAACCCCATCCTCAGTCTTTATAATATAACACCATCTTTATAATAGGCTATGGTGACCTTCAGATACAGGCCCTAATTCTGTGACTTGGGTCCTTCTCTACCTTTAAATAAATGTTTTTAAAAGACCATGGACAGAGAATAGAGAGAAAAAACAAAACACAACACACATGGCAATGAATACAGGAGCTAAGAAGAACTCGTATGCTTTGTGATGTGATACCCTAGGTGTTAAAAACAGATTTCTGTAAGCCCCACTAAGAATCAGCCCCACTTTATTTATGGGCTTGCCCCCGTGCCATTGAAGTTATTGGGAGTTTTGCCACTGACTTCAGTGGGAACGTGATCAGGTCTTATGAGAGAGTTTGATGGATTTTATAAAGTGTTTCTTTTTGGCATTCACCAGTAAAGACTAAGCTAAAATCTTCAAAATTTAAACAAAAACAGCCCTGAAAAACCAATAAAAATAACTGATAAAATACAAATGGCTTAAAATTTTTGTATCAGCTACATCTCATTTCTGATGTTCTGCTGCTGGTTTCCATAGCAAAAGCAGCTAAGGAGAGTGAGGAAATTCCTTGGTCTAAAAGGGGGCTACTAAGTTGAGGGGGCCTGAATTGGGTGGGAGAGAACCGATATCAACCTCTGCCCACCACGTCCTTCACCCTCTATCTTCCCTGGTCTGACCAGATTGCAAGCTTAAGTGAGCTTACGTGGACATTCTTTCACGCAAGTGGCTCCAAAGCTATATTTTCCATCTGGATTGACATCCATCTGATAGGTGGTCGGGTTGTACAGCACTAATGGTGGACAAGTATCCTTGCACGTTGCTTCATCCCGAAACTTGCGGCATGCCTGCCATTGAAGAATGTGACAAAGTAAACTACAGTCTATTTTTATAGCAAAAGGGAAGATACAATAAACGTATAATTCCTGTTTTATAAGGCTGCTACTGCCAGATCTACCAGGTTCTTAGCACTAACTGAGGCACGGAGCACTTTCCAGTATTGGGCTCTTGTGCCATTGAGGTGAGAGAGTGCAAGGGCGAAGGGCAATTGTATCTGACATTTACAAAAATAGCGTATGAGGGTTCTTAATCTTAACGGACTCATGCAAATAACTTCTACATTACCAAGTCCTTATGAACCCAGGCTCCAACACTGGACCAGACCCCTGAGAGGTAGACCCTTCTACTTGTATGGCGTGCCCATGAGTTCCACCTAGAAACAGGGCTCTGCCTGCATGTATTGGATAGTAAGAACAAAGCTAAGAAATCAGAAACCAGATCAAGATAAATGGCTGTTTTCTTTATTGGCAACTTTTTAATAACATTAATGAAATAAGTCCCTGCAGTCAATTACTGACCTGGACAGTTAAATATTAAAGTAATGCCATTAGGCTTGGCTACAGGCGATGAGCAATTTAATGGGCATTTATGAAGTGCAAGTCATTTCTACAAGGCTAACTCTACATTCAAGTTGACAATCTTTCTTCCTCCCTTGGTTCTTCCCTAGGATTTCTGAGGAGAGAGAACTAATGTTTCCTTCCATGAATCAATAAGAACATAATTAATGTGATTTGTTTACATCTTTAATGGACACACAAATATATCCGAAGAAACAAAGATAAACTGGACCGTTTCCATAGAAGTTGCTTGAATTCCACTTAATTTAGAGTTAAGCCCAAACTCAATGGAATCCCTTGTTTTAAAAGGGGGACAGGTTCACAAAACAGATCAACGGAAACACTGCAACAGTTTAAAAAAAAAACCAACCAAACAACTAATGTAAACAGGTTTTTCTGGATTCCATCCCCTTGAGTCCTGTGAACCCTAGCACAGTTGTTCTAGTAAATGAAAGACAGAAAAAGGAAATTGCATAATCTATTCTCATGGTCTAAACTAAATGAAACGCACAAAGGGTATTAAAAATGATGAAAAGTAAGTTTCATTTTAAAATTCTTTGTTTTAAAATTCTAAGCTGTTGCTAAGTATAAGAAATACATGGGCCAGATCACCAGCTGGTATAGACTGGCTATACTGATTTACATGGATGGAGAATCTGTCCCATACATATTTTAATAAGACAGCTGGTGCTCAGCGTCACTTTCAAGGCTCCTAAGATAAAAAAAAAGTTACAGTGCATTCAGCCCAAAGCTTGGCTGCTGCTGCTGAACTTTAACCATGTTGCTGTAGTATTACCAGGCAGTCACTCTCACGAGGTCCTGTACACCCAGCAGCACACTGGTTATGACAACAGTCACTGGGCACCCTTCCTCTGCATCGGCCTGAACATTGCTGGGCACAGATGACTTTTGTTACTGAAAGACAGGAAAAAAAAAAATTAAAATGCATATTTGCTAAACCAAGATTGACAAGTAAGGAGAAAACTCCAAATAAAGAACATCTGGGTAAAGCCTGTCATGAGACACCGGTTTCCACTCTCATCATCAAGTGAAATTTGTGGGATGGAGAGGCCAGAAGGGAGTTTGAGCTTTTCCTCACCAGCATATTAGAGCCAAATTCAAATCTCAATTACGCTGCAGTAAGGCATCAATTCTGCAAGGCACTGAGCATTCTGGCCCTGATCCAGAAAAGCACAGTTAAGGATAGGCTTACATGCTTTGTGGGAAAGGGGCCATTGCTCAGCACCTTGCTAAATCAGGAATAACTTCACTGGCATCAGTGGAGTCACTCCCAATTTACAATGGCATAAGACAGCAGAATTTGACCTTTGTATCTAATAGTTTTACTGAGATAAAAAATATCAGTTGGTGCAACCTTTGAGATATCAGCTTGCTGGGAAGACCAGCTTTATATTAACAGGTTAAAGTACATACTCTGTGTGTCATTAAGGTTCCTGTTAAGTCAGGGGTGGGCAATAATTTTCACAGGGGGGACACCCCATGAATTTTGGTAAGTCGTCATGGGCCACACGTTTCTACTATATTAATGGAGGGATGCGGGATCTAGGAGGGAGTGTGGGTGCAGGAGGGAGCTCTTGGCTGGTCCACAATGTTGGGGTGCAGGACAGGGTGAGGAGTGTGGACTCTGGGAGGGAGTTTGGGTGCAGGAGAGGGTTCTGACCAGGGGAAGGCGCTTACCACAGGCGACTCCTGGCCAGTGATGCAGCAGGGCTCAGGCAGGCTGCCTGCATGCTGTGGTCCCACACCGCTCCCGGAAGCAGCTGCGGCTGACTGCTGCTGGCACATCTCTGTGTGCCCCTTGGTGGGGAGGGGGACAGCAGGTCTCTGTGCACTGCCTGCGCCCACAAGCACCGCCCCCGCAGCTCCCATTGGCCGGTTTCCGTGAGGATGGTGCTTGGGCTGGGGGCAGCATGTGGAGCACAGAGATTTGCCAGCAGCAGCTAGCCACTTCCAGGAGCAGCGTGGGGCCATGGTAGGCAGGCAGCTTGTCTGAGACCTGCTGTGCCATGGGACTTTTAGTGGCCTGGACTTGGAGAGCGTGAGGGGGCCAGACAGAAATGTTAGACAGGCTGAATCCAGCCTGCGAGCCGTATTTTGCCAACCTCTGTGTTAAGTATACTAAACACATTCCTGACGTTGGCAGAGGAACCCTTCTCCCGCAAATTATTTCATATGCCTTCTACACTATTTTTTTAAACTTCAATACTTGGACTAAGTTTTCCTCTCTGCTGTCATAAATATAAAGGGAAGGGTAAACCCCTTTGAAATCCCTCCTGGCCAGGGAAAGCTCCTCTCACCTGTAAAGGGTTAAGAAGCTAAAGGTAACCTCGCTGGCACCTGACCAAAATGACCAATGAGGAGACAAGATACTTTCAAAAGCTGGGAGGAGGGAGAGAAACAAAGGGTCTGTGTCTGTCTGTATGCTGGTCTCTGCCAGGGATAGACCAGGAATGGAGTCTTAGAACTTTTAGTAAGTAATCTAGCTAGGTATGTGTTAGATTATGATTTCTTTAAATGGCTGAGAAAAGAATTGTGCTGAATAGAATAACTATTTCTGTCTGTGTATCTTTTTTGTAACTTAAGGTTTTGCCTAGAGGGGTTCTCTATGTTTTTGAATCTAATTACCCTGTAAGATATCTACCATCCTGATTTTACAGGGGGATTTCTTTATTTCTATTTACTTCTATTTTTTATTAAAAGTCTTCTTGTAAAAACTGAATGCTTTTTCATTGTCTCAATCCAAGGGTTTGGGTCTGTGGTCACCTATGCAAATTGGTGAGGCTTTTTATCCAACATTTCCCAGGAAAGGGGGTGAAGTGTTGGGAGGATTGTTCATTGTTCTTAAGATCCAAGGGTCTGGGTCTGTAGTCACCTAGGCAAATTGGTGAGGCTTTTTACCAAACCTTGTCCAGGAAGTGGGGTGCAAGGTTTTGGGAAGTATTTTGGGGGGAAAGACGCGTCCAAACAGCTCTTCCCCAGTAACCAGTATTAGTTTGGTGGTGGTAGCGGCCATTCCAAGGATAACGGGTGTAATATTTTGTACCTTGGGGAAGTTTTGACCTAAGCTGGTAAAGATAAGCTTAGGAGGTTTTTCATGCAGGTCCCCACATCTGTACCCTAGAGTTCAGAGTGGGGGAGGAACCTTGACATGGTGGCATAGTGGTGGGATTAACCTGAAATCATTTTGAGATCCAGTTGAGATTTTTTTGAACTAGAAATACAGATTTTAAAAAGGAATTTTTAGGAAGTCCAGAAAGCAGCTTTGAAACTGAAAGCAGCTTGGTTTTCTCTTTGTGGCCAAGCAGAGACAAAAGGGGATTATCTTGTGAATTGCAGGTTTTCTTTGCCTGGAGGCAGGGTACTTAACTCCTGCAGGGAAATTCACAGTCTTCCAACCCAGAGGTTTTTTTTTCTTTTCTTCCTAAAAGTAAATAGGGGGTGTGTGTTCTACCCATTTGCTTTTTCTTTGGGCTGGGTAAGCAGGTTTCCAAGTAGTTGGAGGTTTTTTGCTTTAATTTGGGCCCAGAGCAGAGACAAGGGAATTGTCTTTTTCTGTAGGCTGACAGTCACTATCAGAGAATAGGTATTCTATTCCAGCACAGCAAAATTTTACAGCCACGTTTTGTTTGTTTATTTCTAAACCTCGGGTGTAAAGTTAGTTAAAAACAGAGAGGTTAGAATGACCAAATCCTCAGCTCGACTACAGCTCGAATTAGCCAAATTTCAGGCTGAGGAAAGACAAAGGGAACATGAAAGACAGATAGAACTCATGCGGCTGAAGAAGGAACAAGAAAGGGAGGCAGAACAACACCAAGCGGCTGCTCACAGGAGAGCTATGGAAGCGAGGGACAAAGAACTGGAGGAGAAGGAAAAAGAGAGGAAGTATGTGGAGGAGATGGAGAAGATAAAGGCCCAGCAGAATATACCAACAAACCCTAGCAATCCTTCTCCAGGTACCACTTCCCATCCCAGAAAGTTCCCCACCTACAAGGCAGGTGATGATACTGAGGCCTTCTTAGAAAACTTCGAAAGGGCCTGCCTTGGGTACAACATCTCTACTGACCAATACATGGTAGAGCTGAGGCCGCAGCTCAGTGGACCCTTAGCTGAGGTGGCAGCTGAAATGCCTAAAGAACACATGAACAAGTATGAACTGTTTAAATCCAAGGCGAGAGTCAGAATGGGGATAACACCCGAGCAGTCTCGTCGGAGGTTCAGAGCCCTAAGGTGGAAACCAGACATGTCATTTACCCGACATGCCTACCACATTGTGAAACATTGGGATGCCTGGATATCAGGAGCAAGTGTTGAATCTCCAGTAAATTTGCCCTTCCTAATGCAAATGGAACAATTCTTAGAGGGTGTTCCTGAGGAAATAGAAAGATACATCCTAGACGGGAAGCCCAAAACTGTAATCGAGGCAGGAGAGATTGGAGCCAGATGGGTGGAGGTGGCAGAGAAGAAGAAAACTGGTCGCAGTTGGAGCGGAGACCAGAAGGGACCACCCCAGACCACACCCTATTACCGGGGGCCGCCCAAAGCCCCACCTACCTCCCAAAGAACCCTCCAGACCCCTTATCGTCCCACCACCCCGTTCTCCAGCAACCCTCCTCGCCCCAGTGACCCGTCAGCTGGACGATGTTTTAAGTGTAACGAGCTGGGGCATGTAAAGGCCAACTGCCCCAAGAACCCCAACAGATTACAGTTCATTGCACCGGAATCACACCAGAGGTCCACAGGCCCAGATACCTCCCAGATACCCTTGGAGCGGAGGGAAACTGTGAGTGTGGGCGGGAAGAAGGTCACCGCGTGGAGGGACACCGGAGCACAAGTGTCAGCTATCCATGCTTCCTTAGTGGACCCCAATTTAATCAACCCAGAGATCCAAGTGACGATTCAACCCTTCAAGTCCAACTCTTTCAATTTGCCTACAGCCAAGTTGCCTGTCCAGTACAAGGGCTGGTCAGGAATGTGGACTTTTGCAGTCTATGATGATTATCCCATCCCCATGCTGTTGGGGGAAGACTTGGCCAATCATGTGAAGCAGGCCAAGAGGGTGGGAATGGTCACCCGCAGCCAGGCTAAACAAGCCGTGAGGCCTAGCTCTGTTCCGGAAACTTCTATCAGGACCCAGTCAGAGGTGATGGACCCGGACCCCAGGCCAATGTCTGCAACAGCAGTAGTGGATCCAGTCCCAGAGACCCAGACGGAACCAGTCCTAGAACCGGAACCAGCCGAACAACCAACACCAGACCCCGTGTCAGCACTGAATCCAGTACTTGCAACCTCAACACCAGAGGGCCCCACCGAACCTGAACTGGCAGCAGCCGATAACCCTACACAAGAGGCTCAGCCGGAGCCTGAATCCCAACATAGTGCACCAGCGGAGAGCGGTTCACAGTCAACAGAAACAGCTCCATCCCCTATATCGCTTCCAGAGGGACCAAGCCTAGGTCCACAATCCAATGAGGAACTGATGTCCCCAGCATCAAGGGAACAGTTCCAGACCGAACAGGAAGCAGATGAAAGCCTCCAGAGAGCTTGGACGGCGGCACGGAGCAACCCACCGCCTCTCAGCTCTTCTAATCGATCCAGGTTTGTTATAGAAGGAGGACTTTTATACAAGGAAACTCTTTCTGGTGGACACCAGGAAGACTGGCATCCTCAGAGACAGTTGGTAGTTCCAACTAAATACCGGGCCAAGCTCTTGAGCTTAGCCCATGATCACCCTAGTGGCCATGCTGGGGTGAACAGGACCAAAGACCGTTTGGGGGGGTCATTCCACTGGGAGGGAATGGGCAAGGATGTTTCTACCTATGTCCAGTCTTGTGAGGTGTGCCAAAGAGTGGGAAAACCCCAAGACCAGGTCAAAGCCCCTCTCCAGCCACTCCCCA